GTTTGTTTGTTTGTTTTTGTTTTTTCAAGTGTAGCCCTGGCGGTCCTGGAACTCACTCTGTAGCCCAGGCTGGCCTCGAACTCACAGAGGCTCACCAGCCTCTGCCTCCTGGGTGCTGGGATTAAAGGCTTGTGCCACTGTGGCCAGCACTAAACACATTTTTAAAGAGAAGATTTAATTTAGAACGCTCTAGCATTCTTAACGTTCTCTAGCTCCTCGCTGTTGCTTTCAATGACGCGTCAGCCTGTTTTCTGTTGCTAATAACACAGTATCAACGGGACATAGTGACTCACTCCTGTAAGCCCAGCACTTGGGAGGAGGCCAAGGCAAGGGGCACAGTGAGTTTCAGGCCAGCTTGATCTTCATAGTGAGAACTTGTCAAAAATACAAACAAAATGATGACACAATACCATAAGATTATAATTTGTAAACAATAACAGTCCTGTTGGTTTTCAGCTCACAGTTTTGGACATCTTGGCCACATTTCATGATGGTCTTCTTGCTAGGGATGTCCCAACATAGCCCGGGACATCAGATGGCAATAATAGGAACTTTGCATTTGTGTCTCCTGGAAAGTCACTCATGGGGCTCCACTCAAGTGTCCCTCTCTAACCCTAGTCACTTCCCAAATACCGTGGCCATTGTAAAGTTTGCCCTCTTTTCTGTTTCTTTTGGGGGCCTTGGATTGAACCCAGAGCCTCACATTCTTCCTATCACTGAGCTATGCTTCCAGTCCAGTGTCCACCCTTTTAACACCACACAGTGGGGATTAAATTGGGGCACAGAAACCCTAGCAGGATGCAGACCAGATCTAAACCATAGCAATGACTGGCCTTGGAGGACACAGCATTACCAGGGGGTACTAGGCTGTCTAGTTTCTCGAGTGGAGGCCAGAGCCACTGCCTCAAGCAGAAGGTAGGAGCAGGTGACAGAGAAAATACAGTCATTTGGGAACGACAGTTAGCCATGATCTGAGCATGCACGTGAAGGCAAGCGTGTGGAAGGAAGGCCTTGAAAGGCTTGTCCCAGGCTGCCCACAGTGTCACCTGTGAGGAAGATGGGGGCGGGGAGATTGAACTTTACTCTTGTATGAGTTGCTGGAGTTCTCTATGCTGAAACAGCATATGTACTAGCTCATTTGTTTGAAGTGAATCAAAAGAGAAGAGAAAGTACCTTTGGGTTGGAGGGGCTGGGGACGGCCACTCAACTGGAGACGGCCTGCTTAGTGAGCAGGAAGACATGTGCAAGCCTCAGAACACGGAAATATAAGAATAAAAAGGGTTTCCTATTTCTAGGGCCAGTATTTCTGGGAAATGCTGCATAATGCACCTGAATTTAAGAAAAGCACTCACATAGGTTTGATTGTGATATCTTTGTTTTGTATTTTTTGAGAGAGGGTCTTACTGGGTAGCTGGGGAGAAGGCTCAGTGGGTAGCCTAGCCACCAAGTTGCATCCCCGGAATCCACGTCGTGGGAGAGAAGTGAAACTTGTCCTTTAACCTTCAAGTGATCACCATAGCATGCACGTGCCCCCCTACAAAAATAAATAAATACAGAGAAAAGGATTTTGGGGGCGGGGGACAGAGCGCCAATGTGTAGTCCTGGCTGTTTTACCATGTAGACCAGGCTGGCCTCAAACTCACAGAGATCAGTCTGCCTCTGTTTCCTGAGTGCTGGGGTTAAAGGTGTGTATCACCACCGTTTGGTGCTAATTTTTATGTATTTTTTACATATGGAATGTTTCACGAATTTTCGTATCATCCTTCCACAGGGGCCATGCTAATCTTCTCTGTATGTTCCAATTTTAGTATATGTGCTGCCAAAGTGAGCACTTTATTTTTTTTAATTAAAAGAAAAAAAATTTTTTTTGAGGCGGGTATCTCTGTGTAGTCTGAACTGTCCTGGAATTCTCTCTGTAGACCAGGTTGACCTCAAACTCAAAGATTTGCCTGCCTCTTTCTCCTGAGTGCTTGGAATTAAAGGCATGTGCGCCAGCCTGTTGTTAAGCTTTGTCTGTATTTCAGGACCCTGCTGCTTTTAATGGCCAATACCCCGCTGTGTGGACAGCCCACCTTGAGTTTATCCATTTACCAGTTGGTGGTTATTATAAATAATGCTGACATGAATACTTATGGAAGAGTTTTGAAACATACCTGAAAATACATGTTTTCAATATTCTTTTTTTTTAAGGTTTGTATGTTTTTACGTGTCTGAGTGTTTTGCCTGCATGTATTTATGTGCCTGGTATCTGTGTAGGCCAGAAGAGGGCACCAATCTGGAACTGGAGCTACAGATGGTTGTGAGCCACCATGTGGGTGCTGGAAGGGAACTGGACCCAGCTCCTCCAGATGAGCAGCAGGTGTCTCTAGCTTGTTTTCAACATATACTTTGTTTCAGTTTTTGGAGACAGGGTTTCTCTGTGTAGCCCTGGCTGTTCTGGAACTCGCTTTTTTAGACCAGGCTGACCCCAAACTCAGAGATCTCCCTGCCCCGGTCTCCTGAGTAGTGGCATTAAAAACGTACGCTACTATGCCTGGCCTTGAGTTTTCTGGGGTGGATTTGCTGGGCTACTCTACTATGTTTTGAGGAGCTGCCAACATGACTCCCAGGAGCAACACACACATTGTAGCTCCTCTACACCCTCATTACCCTGTGTTAGCCATCCCAGCAGGGACAGGTGTCCTTCATAAGTTTGAGGTAACAGGACACTGTGGCAGGGAGAGCACAGGAATAGGAGTGTCGGGTGCTGGTCACATGCTATTTGCAGTCTGGACGCACAGAGACAAATGCTGTGTCCATCTGTCCCTTCATGATGGTTTTGAGCTGCGCATGCTTGGCAATTCCCGATGAACATCTCAGAAGGCACCTCCTTCCTTGCCCGATGCTCTTTGGGAGTGTTTTCGCTTTGTTTGCTGCTCCCCCTTTTTTTTTTTTTTTTTTTTTTTTTTTTTTTTGGTTTTTTGAGACAGGGTTTCTCTGTGTAGCTTTGTGCCTCTCCTGGAACTCACTTTGGAGACCAGGCTGGCCTCGAACTCACAGAGATCCGCCTGGCTCTGCCTCCCAAGTGCTGGGATTAAAGGCATGCGCCACCACCACCCGGCTGCTGCTCCCCTTTTTGACACATCTCACTCTGGTCTGGAATTCACTATTGCAGCCTTGGCTGAGCTCCTACGAGGAGCAATCCTCCTGCTTCTCAAGTGCTGGGCTTATAAGTGCGCCTCACGACATGTCTTTTCATTATCTTGAAAATGTCCTTCAAAGCGCCATTTCTCAGGCTGGTAAAGCCAGCTTGTCTACTCTGCTTTGCTCTTTATTTCCTAAAAAAAAAAAAAAAAAAATGTCATGCCAGAGTAAGGAAAATTTAAGTTTGTGTATGTGTGTTTGTGCACATGTGCGCATGTCAGGGTCTCGTGTATATCAGGGTAGCTTTGCACTTGGTATGTAGTTAACACAAACTTTTGATTCTCCTGCCTTCAGAGTGCTGGGATTGCAGGTGCACACCACCACCACCTGGTTTCATGCAGTGCAGGGAATCAAACCCAGAGCTTTGAGCTTCCTAGGCAGGCTCCCTACTGAGCCCTTGCCCAGTCTGTTTTCTTCTGGAGTTCTATAGTTTTTTTTTTTAGATTTCATGAACCTCTTTGAGTGAATTTCCCCACCCCAACACTGGGGTGGCTAAGGCAGGAAGACCACAAGTTCAAGGCCAGCTTGTGCTAGGCAGTGAGACTGTCTCAAAAAGCAGTATCTGCATATGGCGTAAGACCAGGTCCTAGGCTTCAATGCCATTCTTAGGTGAATTTCCAGTTTTTCTCAGGACCATCTACTGAAGTCACCCCCTTTCCCCCATCAGTGTTGAGGATTCAGCCTAAGACCTTGGGTGTAGTAGACAATCACCCTCTGAGTTACGTCCTTAGCCCCTGGGGCTTGAACGTGGTGTGTAGCCAGGGCTGGTTTTGAATAGACTGCCTCTACTGTCCCGTGCTGAGATGCCTGGATTAGAATACTTTTTCTGCTTGCTAGCACTTTGTATTTAAATTTCTGATACTCCCACCCAGAGGCTCAGCCCCGTATCTCAAATTGGGCCTTGGAAGTTGGCAAGGACATTGATTAACTTGAGCTCATTCGGGATTGTTACCAGGTGAAGGAGTGTGGAGTGAGTGACATGTCTCAGGGACAGATGCAAGGGACTGCCCCGATGGAGTCCTGTGATGACCTTTACAGCTTAGCTACTGTGACATTTCTCCACGTGGTATGTGTGGCTAAGCTCGTGACTCAGTGTGTGTGTGTGTGTGTGTGTGTGTGTGTGTGTGTGTCCTGCAGCAGGACAACGGCAGAGCTCCTTGGTGAGTGTGAGATTTTTAATGACTGTGCATGCGTAGAAACTAGGATCCTGGTATATGTCACTGTCACCCAGAGCAAGGCAGCACTTGAAGTTTTTACTGTGACATGTTAAGGGGGAAGAGGCTTTGAGTGAGATTGAATGTGACGGCAAGACAGATACTGAGTGACAGAATGGAATGGAGTAGGGGCAGGCAGGCTGTGCCAGGAAAATGTGGGGGCCCAAGAGATGCTGTGGAATGTCAGGCAGGTGTGTGCTGTCTCCTCCTCCCCCCACAGGCCCCAGCAGCTTCCTGAAAGCAGAGATGCTTTCTCTATGCATGGCAAGGGGACTTGTGGCTCAGATCGTATGTCCAGGCTTAGGCACGGCACCAGTGAGAGCTGTGTAAATGGGTGGATGGAGTCTGGACTGGGCTCATCTCAGCCTGAGCTGCTAGAGTGGCCAACAGAGACAGAGTCAACCTAAACATTTTTCCTCCTCTGTCCCCTGGGGTGAGAAGAAAGAGACACCACATCCTCCACTTGTACAAGCCTGGGCGGGCAGGCATAATGAGCATGTGCCCAGGGCAGGTAGAAGGCTGCCGAGGGATGCATCCCTAAGTTCTCTGAAACTGCACCCCAGAACTTGAGGGCTGTACCACAGATGACACGGGGTTAACAGATGTGGGTTAACAGCTGGCTTTATTGAGAGGAAGTTTAGAGGGCAGAAAGGGCAAGAAGCTGGAAAGTGTGGGGTGGACAGAGTGGCCAAGGCAGGCCTGCAGATCTATGGGAACCACCTGGAAGTCAGCTCTGAGGTGACAAGATGGTAAGAACGCCTTTGGCCTGTAGAAAGCTGAGACAATGAGCTCTTTCCTGCAGCCAGGAGCCGCCAACTCCCTGCTCCAACCCCGAGAGACATGAATATAAGGGAGAGGAAAATGGAATGGACATTAGTTTAGAGGGGGAAACGAGAACTCTTTCTCTGAGTTCAAAAGTGAGAATTAAAACCATGATTAAGGCTACACAACAATCAGGCTAGAATAAATACCCCACCGACACACATAAGAAACAGACCATAAATGAAGGAATGAGATTTGAGGTGTGCATCCAGCTGCCATGAAAGACACCAGCAAATGCTACCCCCCAGTCACTGGGATGTGAAGAAGAGAGGTTGTGGGGGGCACAGCACAGAGGCCCTGGGCTGGAGGGGACCGCAGTGCCCAGGGCTTATTAATGGGAGGCAGGGCAGACAGCCCGACCCCGGCTTTGGCAGTCTGTGGAAAGGGAGATAGTCTGTTCGGCAGCACTGCAAGGACTTGCAGATACTGGGAGGACCCCCTCGAAGGCCTTTCCAGGAACGAGTGCAGGATTCTGGTTCACAGAGCTGGGGCCAGATGTGTGGGAAAAGCCATACAGCTGGACCTGGAAGCAAGGCCCACTTCACCCGGGTAGAAACACTAGTGTTTGTAGCCAAGCAGGACAATTCCTCTTGGGCAGGAAGGGTGGAGAACCGTGAGTCACGAGCAGGCCTGAGCCTGATCTGCAGGAGCACAGCAGGTTAATGTGAAGGCATAGCAGTCTGTCAGCTGAGAGGCCGGGCCGGGCAGCACCACGGCCGCCATCACTTCCGAAGGAACTTCTTGTTGAGGAGGAAGATGAGAAGATTGACATTGACTTTGGCTTTGTTAAAGAGCTTCATGACGGCCACACCCTCATACTGCAGCTGCAAGAGGTCCTAGGGGGGAAGGGACAGGGAGGCGGGATTTATGAGCTTCTGGGAGTGGCCCAGCCAGCCCATGAAACACTTGTCGGGAAGCCTTAGGGCTGCCAGGAGCACCGGCCACTGAAGCAGGGCGTGGAAAGCCCACTCTACAAATGAGGAAAACAGGCCCAGTGACTGGACCAAATGTCAGGCCAAGAGAGCCAGGACTTGAAACCAAGTTTCTTGTTCACAAGGCAAACAACAGAGATCAGTACTGAAAATCACTGCTCTGAATCAGGTTGTGCTGGCACACACCTGTAACTCCAGCCCCGGGGACAACGAGGCAAGAGGGCAGTGACAAGTCCCTGGCCAGCCTGGGTCATAGAATAGGACCCTTTCTCAAAAGCAAACAAGCGAGAAAACAGTAACTAGGTCTGGACAGATGGCTCAGTAGTGAAGAGCACTGGCTGTTCCTGCAGAGAATCTGGGTTTGATCCCAGCACCCATATCCAGGTGGCTTACAACCATCTGTAATTCTAGTTCCAGGGGATCCAACACCCTCTTCTGGGCTTCCTGGGCATCTGAATGGGTGTGCACACACATATACACAAATAAAAAATAAAATAAATCTTAAAAAAAAAAAAAGCCAAGCAATAAATAGGGCTGGGCATGGTAGCATAACTTTAATTCTAGCACTTGGGAGGCAGAGAAGGCAAAGCTCTGTGTGTTTGAGGCTAGCCTGAGCTACAGAGTGAAACCCCATCTTAAAAAAAAAAAATAAAGCTAAAGCCAAGCAATGGTGGCGCATGCCTTCAGTCCCAGCACTCAGGAAGCAGAGGCAGGTGGATCTCTGTGAGTTCGAGGCCAGCCTGGGCTACAGAGCAAGCTTCAGGACAGCCAGGACTACTACACAGAGAAACCCTGTCTCATCCCCCCCTCCCCCACAACAAGAAAGCTAAATACATAAATAAATAAGATAAAACCACCGATTCACTGGATGTGGTGGCATAAACCTGTAAGCCAGGAGGCTGAGACAGGAAGGTTGCCTGTTTAAGACCAGCCTGACCTACAGAGGGAGATTCTACCTCAACAAACAAACAAACAACAAAATATGGACTGGAAAAATGGCTCAGGAATCGAGAGTACTTGCTGTTCAGCTGTGAGGAGCAAAGTTCAGATCCTAGCACCCATGTCCCACAAGTGCCTGTAACTCCAGCTGCAAGGGATCCAATCCCTCTTTCGGACTCTGCACACGAATAGGTGTAGGTACTCATCCACCCACAAATCCATCAAATATTACTTTAAAAAAATAAGGGGGGCTAAGGGTGTGGCTCATCAGAGAAAGTGCATGCTGAGTGAGGACCTGAGTTTGGATCTTCAGCACCCGGGGAGGTGTGTGCTATATAACCCTGGCACAGGAAGGCCAAGACAGGCAGACCCCAGAGGCTCACTGGCTAGCCAACGTACTCAAAACGATGACCTAGCAGGTTCCAGGTTCAGGACCCCGCCTCTTAAAAAAAAAAATGGTAGAGGAAGACTCCAAATGTCAACATCTGTTTTCCACATGTGCACGTGAGTACACCTCCACACATGCACCCCCAAACACCCCGATAACAGCAACAGAAAATAGAGCCGGATATAATACAGTTGGCAAAGTGCTTGTCAAGGACCTAAGTCGGGTTCCCAGAACCCATGTAAAAATAACAATTTTTTAAAAATACGGGGTTGGGGCTGTAGCTCAGCTGGAGTAGTACTTGCCTAAAACGTGTGAAGCCCTGGTACCCCAGAAGTCAGGTGCTGTAGTGCACACTGTAATCGTAGCATTTGGGAGGAAGCAAGATAAAGACAGTCATAAATCCAAGGTCACCCTCAGCTAGCGAAGGCCATTCTAGGCTACACGAGGCATTTCAAATAAAAATGAAATCACTGCTTCCCTGAACATTAGCTGGGACTGAGGTCAGCTTCTTAACCTTTTAGCCTCAGAGCCTATAAAACGGGTAAACACTGCAGAGTGGCTAGGGATTAAACAAGGCAGGGCAGAGAGCTGTCCCCTAATTAACGCCTGGAGGGCACAGCAGTGGGAAGGGTGTTTTGTTTTTCAGTGTTGGGATTTGACCTGGGGTTTCATGCATGCTAAGCAAGTACTCTACCACTGAGATGTATCCCCAGCTCTCTTTTTAATTTAATTTAATTTTTTATTTTTTTGGTTTTTTTCCGAGACAGGGTTTCTCTGTGCAGCTTTGGAGCCTGTCCTGGAACTCACTTTGTAGACCAGGCTGGCCTCAAACTCAGAGATCCTCACGGGTCTGCCATGCTAGGATTAAAGGCGTGTGCCACCTGCCACCCGCCACCCCGGCTTCTCTTTTTAATTTTAATCTTACACTTGTGTCTTTTTTTTGACAGGTTCTCACCATGTAGCACTGGCTGGCCTGGAACTCACCTGCCTCTGCTTCCCAGAACTGGGATTAAAAGAGTATACCACCATCCCAGCTTTAATTTTTGTTTTGAAACAATGTCTCACTAAATTCCCCAGGTTGCTCTTGAACTCTGTGGTTAAGTTTGGCCTTGAAATGAAAGAAATTTTTTTGGTCTTATATCTACTTACTTAATTATATTTGTGTGTGTGTGCATATATGTGGTCACGCACACCACAGTACACGTGCAGAGGTCAGAGGACAACCCGCAGGAGTCAGTTCTCTACCTCCACCACGTGGGTGGGCCTAGGGATCAAAAGGCAAGTCACAGGCTCTTTAGGTAAGTGGTATGATGAGCTGAGCCATCGCCAGCCCTGGGCCTTGAAGGTTTGATCCCTCTGCCTCAGCCTCTGAGGTGCTGGGATTACAGACCCCCACCCACGGGCCTAGCCCCAGCAGGGGCTGTAAGGGCCTCACCTGGTAGTGGAGCTGAAACTGCTCCATGTCCACACCCAGGAACTTGGCATTTACGGCAAACCTTCCCGCCTCATCTCCAGGGGTAATGTCAAAGATGACGTTCCTGAAGCTGTCAGGAACAGGAGTCAACACAGGGCTCCTCTTTTCAGAGCCGCCCCCCCCCCCCCATCCTGAGGCTGCTCATTGGGTCGTGTGCGACCCTGACAGCCCCGGCTTCTCCTTGTGCCCCATTGCTGGGGCCTGCTCTCTGTCTTCTCCTAGTTTGACTTCTGCCTAATTAATCTCTTCTTACTTGCCTGGCCCTCCCAAGCTGGTCTCACCTCCAGGATGCTTTCCCGGCATCCTTCCCAGTGCTAGAACACGTCTACCACCCTCCTCGCCTCTGCTTGAAGATGTCCCATCTCCCCACCTTTCTTCCAACCCGGTGCCCTGCTCAGAGCTTCATCCTAGCCTTGTCCCTCCCAGGAGACAGGAAGGGTCTGACATTCTGCCCCCCAAAGACACATACTGAGAGACAGGGAGATCTTCAATTTCCACCAAGACGCCCTTTTCCAGGAGCTGGGCAGCTGTGTAATGAAGACAGGGCCGCTTCTTCCCCTTCCCAGAACTCCTGTTTAAAAGAGGGCCCCAGACAGTTTGTCCGATAAACTCAATACTGGCTGCCAGCTCTTGGTGGCTGGCAGGAAGATGCCAGGCCCCGAGGAGCCTCTCTGCTGTGGAAGGTGAGGAGGGAGCCACCAACGCCAGAGTTAGCAGCAGGCAGTGCTGTATTGGGGGTGATTCCTAGCCAGGGTTGGGAGACAGCAGGACCAAGGTGGACAGGTGGTGGTGGGGGAGCCAGGGGCTAGGGTGGGGTTCACAACACCTACTTGGCTTTGGGGGCCAGGTGGTCGAGGCAGGCCTGGATGTACTGGTTGTAGTAGTCACCCTGCTCCTCGTAGAAGGTGGTCTTTGCATCCAGGCCCTGCAGCGTGGCCCGGAGTCTCAGTATCTCTGCCTTCCGCCGCTGCCGCTGCCTGCGCTGATTGCAGATGTCCTGCAGATGAGGATGAGGAAGCAGGTCAGCAGCCTCTCCTAAGTCCTAGCACACCTCCCTAGCTCGCCGTGAAGATGTCTGAGAAAACAGGAAGAGGGCCTGGGGCCGGAGTGGCTCAGGGTGGAGTGTCTGCCTAGCATGTGTTCCATTCCCAGTACCGGAACGCTGTTCTACCTAAGAGACAAAAGGACACTACACCTAACACCCAGGGCACAAACTCAGCGCTTCTTTCCGGGCTACCGTATCTTTTTGTTGCTGTTTTGTTGAGACAGGGTTTCTCTATGTACCAACCCTGGCTGTCCTGGAACCCCAGTGCTGGGATTAAAGGCGTGCGCTACTATACTACGTCTGGCTAAGGCTACCGCGCTTTAGTGGAAGAGAGCTTGGAGGAAATCTGCCCACTTAACCTTAGGACCATTCCTTGAAAAAGAACCCTGGGCCTTCCTCACATTGGTGGCGATTTGGGGTTGGCACCCACCAGGGAAAAGTCTGCCTTTGTAATGCCAGCACAGTGGCTTTGCATCTGGCCACATGTAGTCCTGGCCTGGGTTATCACCTTGGCCAGCTCATCCACCAGTCCCTGATAGCAGTCACTGGCCCTGACCAGCCCCAGGCCCTGGAGCCGACGCAGGTTCCGCAGGACACGCCGCTGCTTCTCTGCCAGTGGCAGGAGGGAGTGTGACATCATCGAGTGGTGTCGTCGAAGTGACTCTGGTTTCTGGGTGTCACAGGCCTGACGCCAACACATCAGCCGATGATGGGCCTCTTCCTGGGGAGGGGGCAGAGATGCTGAGGAGGTCCCAGGCCCTACATCCTACTGCAGACCAGGACAAGCCCCAGAGCTCGGGGGGGTCCTGTGTACACTCCTGTGTGCTGTCAGAAAAGATGCCACCTTCCCAGCCTAGCCTCTGGGGGTGGGGGGAGGTGGAGAACACACAGGCGATGACACACGGAAGTGCCTTGTGGATCCCAGGTGGCCCCAGAGGACACATACAGACCAAGGAGACACTGGCTGCTGACAGTCTCCCAAACCCATCGTGGCATCCTATGGGCATGAGGTGTGTGTGGAGCTTGCCTAGCTGTTTGGGGACAGGCTTCTACATGCCATTGCCACCGTTACTTAGGGGACTTCTGGCTTTGCCCTTATTCCAGACCCAACAAGGAACCCATCTGTCATCCTTTCTCGCCTCCAGACCCTCCAACTCGCCCTGTTTCCAGAGCAATTCCATTATAGGGTTCTCAGAACAGACTGCCCCTCAGCACTACCCGAACCCCAGCATGTGGAGGGGGCAGGAAGAGAGCAGACTGTCTAGGCTTTCCCCTCAGCCTGTGGCCTCTGGGGTCAAGGTCAGAGGCTTGGCTTTACTAGCCGCAGGGCCTCTGTAGCAGACTGAGAGGAACAGGCAGTGCTGGGGGGGAGAGGGAGGGTTAAAGACTTAAGCTGTTATGGGCTGTCCCGGCTACTCACCTGCTCTCTGGGAGCTGAGAAGGACAGGATCTCCTCGAGGGAATCCCCAGGGTGGAACTGGATGAGGTCAGCCAGCATCTGTTTGGTGCTACAAGGGAGGACAGGGTGAGGTTCAGGAAGGGTCCAGACAGGGTGGCCAAAGAACTAAGGGGAAGTGGATCCTGCCCCTGGGCTGTTAGGGATGCCCACGCTGAAGCCTGAGAGGCTCCAGGGGAGGTGCTATCTCCTAGAATACCTTCCCTCAAGCTGGCCTCCTCTGATCCTTCAGCCCAAGTATTCACCTCCTCCTGCTAGCCCCCATGACTGATTCTCAAGGCACCTGACCCCTCCTCTGGGTAGCTTTCCGCTTGTGTTACCCACTCTAAGACCTTTGCTGAGGGAACAGGAGCCACATCCTGGCTGTCTCTGACAGTGTGTGGATGAGTGGAGAAGCTGCCTCGGGGGGGGGGGGGGGGGGGGGGGGGGGGGGGGGGAGATGGTGCCGGTGCCGGTGCCGGTGCCTGTGCCGCTAACTGGCCCGGCGACCAGCCCAGCCCTGGGTGGTCCTTCCTGACTGGCTTTTGCAGAAGTGTGAAGAGTGAGTTCCTGGCCTGGGTTGGTAAAATGGTTGTTGGTAAAGGCCCTTGCTATGCAAGCCTGGTGATCTGAGTTCCGCCCCCGGAACTCATGTGAAGATGGAAATCTTTCAAAAGAACTGATTCCACAAAGCTGTCCTGAACTCCATACATGTGTCATGACATGTGCTCCCCTAGTCATGCACATACACACACAACAATAAGTAAATTAGAGAAAAAAAAGTTTCAGCTTTTCTTCTGACCATCATTAGTGCAGGCATGACAACCTGGTTCCACCTCCCACGGGCTGTGGACTCTGGGTCGTGGACTTTAGAGGAGGCTTCTATCTGAGCCCCCTCCTCACCTGGAGTAGCCTGTGCCCAAGGTGAAACGCTAACCTGAAAAGCCTTTGGTCAAGCCAGGCACGGTGGCTCATGTCTCTAATCTCAGCTAAGACAGGAGAATTACCTGGAGTTTGAGGTCAGCCTGGACTACAGAGCAAATCTAGGCCTCGGGAGGCTGCAATGGGAGATCCTGACTCCAAAGGTAAATAAACCCAAGCATCGGGGCAGCAGCAGAATCTGCAAACACCTGCTGCTCCAGGATCCTGATCATCCCTGTGCCTTCAGCTAGGACTCCAAGGAAAAGGCTGAGAGGTTGCCAAAGAACAGCTGATGCTATTCTCAGTGAGACCAATGTGACTTAGGCTTCAGGGAGAACTTTTAGCAGATCAGGGGGTGGGTAGGGCAATAAGAAGGTCTGATGGCCGTCTCTGAGTGGGACCACCGTATAGGCAGCAGGGACACTGAGCCCTGGGAGAGCCGCACACCCACCTCAGAAGCAGGCTTTGGTTGCTGGTGTGGTCAGTATCTGCCTCCAGCCCTTCGAACTTGTTGGCGAGGGTCAGGGACACTTCGAGCCTGCTCAGATCCACCTGCCCATCTGTGGCTATGTTCTCACCTGAGACGGGGTAAGAGATGAGTGGGACAGGCCCGCAAAGACGGAGGTCACAGCAGAAGAGGTCCTCTGTACACATCTTTCAGGAAGCCCTCCCACCCTGTCCCATGGGACCACACCATGCCCTCAACCTTGACACTTGTGGAAGGACTTGAGTTACTTCTACTGGGATTCTGTATGATCTCAGCCTGGGTGCCAGCTGGGCCTTGCCGTTTAGAGATCCTGGCATCCCGCCGGACACTTCCCTTCCACTGCCAGAGCTCTAGAGCTAGACATGTAGACCCAGCAGGACCCCAGAGGCCCTCCCCTCCACATCTCTTGTGTATGACTGCACTGGTCATTGTCATAGTTTGGTCTCCTCAAGCATCAGTATCTGTGCACTGCCCACACAAGGCCGTGAGTCTGTGCCCATCAGATGAGTCACAGAGAACGACAGAGGGGGGTCCCTATGATGAGCTGCCTGTTGACAGCCATCCTTGAAGGCCCAGCTGGCTCCACATGCCAAGAAAGCACACACCGATGAGGTCAGAGGTGGTGGGTGGCTCCCCAAGGTCCTCCAGGAGCTGGTGCAGAGGGTCTTGGTGATCCGGGGCCAGCTGGTCTTGGTGTTCCAGCAAGAGCTATGGATGGTAGAAGGAAAGAGGTGCAGGGTTGAACCAGGCCTGGCTCTGGGGGTCAGGGATCTTCTCGGACTGTCAGCCTCGCCCTCCGGTGCTGACCCCTTACCTTGTGCGTGCTGATCAGCTCCCCGACAGTGATGTAGACCACAGGTTTGGCCACAGCTACCATATCTGAGTACTCGTCTATGGCGAAGCGCTCCTCTGGCTCTGGTACCCGGCAGGCTCTGTAGATGAACTTCCTATCCCAGAGAGAGGGTATGTCAGAGTGGACTAGGCCAGCAGTCCCTGCCCTGCTTTTATCTGGTCCTCCCTCTGTCTCAGTGTGCCATCCAGACTAGCTTTGGGTGGTCTTCTCTGTCCCCTGGGAGGCCTCCTGCTGGCCCCTGGCTCCCTATTCCCTGTACCTCTGGGATTTTCTTCCTCAGACTCTAGAGAGGAGAGCAGGATGTGAACCATGAGGAGTGGAGAGAGGACCGGGGAGGGGCAGGGTGCCAGGACCGAGACCTGAATTTGAGATGCATGTCCTCCAGGTAGCCGTTCAGGACTCGAAGGTGTTGGCTCTCCCCGGAGAAGACCTTGCCAGCGGCAGCATGCTGAAGGAGTTGAGCCACGGCCCCTAGGGCATGGCGCTGTGGGGCGGCCATCGTGCTGCCTGCTGCCATGGCCACAATGTCGAAGGCGTCAGGGGCTACCACAGCTGGGTTCAGGAAGCGGTAGTACAGGAGGTTCCCAACCACCTGAGTGCAGAGGAGAAACTTCCAGAAAGTTCTAGAAGCCACCTTGACAGCCATAGCTCCACAGTCCACAGTGGTAGGCCAGGCTCTGTTTATAGGACGAGACCCATTTCTTTCTTTCTTTTTTTTTTTTTTTGGTTTTTCGAGACAGGGTTTCTCTGTGTAGTTTTGCACCTGTCTTGGAACTCACTCTGTAGACCAGGCTGGCCTCGAACTCACAGAGATCCGTCTGCCTCTGCCTCCCGAGTGCTGGGATTAAAGGCGTGCGCCACCACCGCCCGGCCCCATTTCTTTCTTTGGATGTTTATAGCATAGTTTGTCATCCTGCCTGTCTGTGCATCACCGGAAAATCGGGCAAAGGAGGGTCTTGGAGGTGGTAGAGGAGACACAACACTTGCCTTATAGACTTCGCTCTCCGTGGCACTGGGGAACTTCTTCTCCAGGGTTGTCTTCAGGACTTTGGCCATATACCGCATCCCATACCTCAGGAACAAAACAGGCACGTGGGGCCCTTCCCGTCCCTGTCCCGGGACTCACGGTAGAGAGCCTGGCTGCCTCTCTCCCCGTCTCGGCCACACCAGGGCGGAGCCCACACATTCCCTCTTCTTCCTGGTGCTCCCTGCAGCAGTCCTCGGCCCTGGGCCTTTGCCCTTCCCCCATCCTTGTGTCAGGACCAGGTACAGGGCCCTGCTGGCCCCCTGAAGCTCTCCCTGCCTCCAACTCCTTGTTTCTGAGACAGGGTCTTGCCGTGCAGTAGTACATGCACGCCTCACACTCAGGATCTCAACCTGTGCCTCCCAAGTGCCTCTGGTACAGCTGTGTGCCAGCACATCCAGCTCAGGACCCTTTTCTCTGAGGCCCTCTCACTTCCTCACAGACCACCTCTGCTTATAGTATTCCCATCTTCTCCACAGATGCACGTTATGCTGTCTCTTGGGTACCTGACGGCCCAGGAACCTCCAAGGCAGCCAACTTTGCCAGCTCCTGGAGGTCCTGAGTAGCATGTCTGGGCTGGGGCGGGGCCTGCCTGCCTGCCTACCAGAGATCCACTCTCGGCCATTTCCTTCCCATCTGCACATCTGTCCGCTGGCTGGGACGACTAGAGTGAGCTCTGTCTCACAAGGTTTTTGTGAAGGTAGCAGTGTTGTTCCAACGTGCTGAACTTCTCTGTCACTCCTGTGATGGGTTTGCTACCGCAAAGCTAACCAGACTCCGTTTAAAAGCTGTTTCCGCTACCGGCTACCAGCAGATTTATAACTCGCTGTGTACTTCCCTTCTTAGACGTCAAGCAATCTTTTCTTACTCCCAGTTGCCAAGCATCAGTCCATCTCTGGGTTTGGGGCTGTTTCCCCTTTGGTACTCAGCTGCCCTCAGCGCTGAGAACCGAGGCCGGTGGCTGGATGCTGGATCTAGAGGACACCTACCTGCTCACATTTTCATTAGACAAGGTTTTTTGTTTGTTTGTTTCTTTTGTTTTGAGACAGGGTTTCTCTGTGTAGCCCTGGCTGTCCTGGAACTCACTCAATAGACCAGGCTGGCCTTGACCTCAGAGATCTACCTACCTCTGTCTCCTGAGAGCAGGAATTAAAGGCGTGTGCCACCACTACCTGGCTTCAAATATTTTTCAACAAAACATTTATTCAATGATTTTTTTTTTTTTTTTTTTTTTTTTGGTTTTTTGAGACAGGGTTTCTCTGTGTAGCTTTGCGCCTTTTCCTGGAACTCACTTGGTAGCCCAGGCTGGCCTCGAACTCACAGAGATCCGCCTGGCTCTGCCTCCCGAGTGCTGGGATTAAAGGCGTGCGCCACCACCGCCCGGCCTATTCAATGATTTTTGTTTGCTTGTTTATTGTGATACAGGGTCTCATTAGGTTGGGCTCAAACTGAGAAGTATAAGGCTTGTTTATAGTTCCGACCACCCTGCCTCTACCTCCAAGTTAGTGGCCAGTTCTTTTTTTTTTTTTTTTTTTGGTTTTTTGAGACAGGGTTTCTCTGTGTAGCTTTGCGCCTATCCTGGAACTCACTTGGTAGCCCAGGCTGGCCTTGAACTCACAGAGATCCACCTGGCTCTGCCTCCCGAGTGCTGGGATTAAAGGCGTGCGCCACCACCGCCCGGCCAAAAAGAATTATTTATTTAATGTATGTCCATATGAGGGTGTCAGATCCCCAGGAACTGGAGTTACAGACAGCTGTGAACTGTGGGTGTTGGGAATTGAACCGGGGTCCTCTGGAAGAACAGCCAGTGCTCTTAACCCCTGAGCCAACTCTCCAGCCTAGTGGCCAGTTCTTAAGAAAGAGGAGAACTGGGGGCTGAAGAGATGGATCAGTGGTTAATAAGTGGCTGCTCTTACAGAGAAAGATTCCCATCGCCCACCTGGCAGCTCACAACCACCTGACTCCAGTCTCAGGGGGATCTGTTGTCCTTTTCTGGTCTCTGAGGGCACCCGGCACAAACACAGTGCACAGATATGCATGCATGCAAAACCCCATACACGTTTAAAAAATCTTTACAATAAAAAAGGACTTGCCAGGAGATGGTGGCACACACCTTTAGTCCCAGCACTCAGGAGGCAGAAGTAGGTGGATCTCTGAGTTTGAGGCCAGCTTGGTCTCACACAGGAAACCCTGTCCCAAAAACAAACAAACAAACAAACAAACAAACAAAAAGATAGATACATAGATAGATAGATAGATAGATAGATAGAAAGAAAGAAAGAATTAAAAAGGGCCAGGCATGGTGGCGCAGGCCTTTAATCCCAGCATTGGGGAGGGCTGAAGCAGGTGGAGCTCTGTGAGTTTGAGCCAGCTTGGACTACAGAGCAAGTTCCAGGACAGCTAGGGCTATGTAGATAGACCCCGCCTAATAAAAAAAAAAAAGAGAGAGAAAAGAAAAGAAGAAAAAAGAAAGCATGGAGGGAGGACTGTAATTATGAAGTACTTTAGCATCTAATCTAAAATAGTACCCTTTTTTGGCTTTGTGGGCCAAAGAGCCCCGTCTTTTCTTCACTTGTCCTCAGACAATAGTACTTGTCACCATTTTGGGTTTCTCTTTGACCAGCCACACAGACCCGCCCAGCTCAGTTCCCTGGCAAGGGCTTCAACACATCTGACCCCGACCGGCACCTCTGTCTCCTCCTTGCTATCCCTCCCCTCAGAGGTCACTTGTTCTGCTCTCCCCTTCCAAACTGGTAGCCCTGGGGGAGGCAGGGACACCTACGGGATGTGATCCACAGATGAACTGATGGCGACAAAGAACTTGTCAGTCATGGCAAGGAGATTGCGTAGGGAGATGTCCAACCGTCTCTGGACTTCAGCGTGGCTCAAAGCCTGCTCAGGAGTGACATCATAGGGGAGACAGCTGTGGGCAGAGAGAGATGGTAAAGCTGGTGTCCTCTTCTATTGCCTCCCTTCCTGACTTTCCCCATCAGCTCTTCTCTATCTGCTCTTCTCCAGCGAGGCTCGAGACACACCCGCGCACCAAGAGGGGCTCGAGACACACCCGCGCACCAAGAGGGGCTCGAGACACACCCGTGCACCAAGAGGAAGGGCCAGAGGAAAGGGCAGAACCTGGAGGACTGCAGAGGTGAGCACACACGGGGTGGGGGATGGGGGGGTTGGGGGAGGACTGCAGCAGTGAGGATACACAGGGGGAGGACGGAGGGAGGACTGCAGCAGTGAGGATACACAGGGGGAAGAGGGAGGGAGGACTGCAGCAGTGAGGATACACAGGGGGAAGAGGGAGGGAGGACTGCAGCAGTGAGGATACACAGAGGGAAGAGGGAGGACTCAGGAGCCCCAGAGCAGCTGAAAAGTGCAGGGAGACATGTCAGACTCAAAAGCAGATACCCAGGTGCTACTATCAAATCATCCTTGGCAGCTGGGGTGACAGAGAAAGCCAGGGCCCAAATCTCCTGCAGGCCTGTGTCATCTCTGCATGTCACCTTCAAACACACCCAGGCTTCTCTACCGATCTGCAGTGACCTGATCGAAGCACGTGCTCCCCCGCTGCTGGCTCACCTGCGCTGGCCAGTCTGGGCCTCCCCCCTGGTTGATCCAGCTCTTGTAGATGTGGACAGGATCTGTGTGGGATGCTGGACCGCCCTGTCTTTCCAGCACATCCTGGACAAACCTTACCCCAGGATCTGCTGCAGAGCGCTCTGGCCCCGCCCATTGCGGTAGAACCTCACCACCAGCCGCACCACTGTCGGGTTTGCCTGTCACCACATCCTGGGGCTGCTCCACCTTTGACCTGTGGGGCAATAGGTTACTGGCCTCCTGCTTTAAGGAGGACGTCGTGTCTTTCCTTTTCCAGAGTTTTGTCTTTTCAAGCCCACTCTAGTATCCACCCCAAGGGAGGCCCCCTGTCTAGGTGTTGTCCAGCTAGGGCCAGCCCACACCCTCCCTCCATGCTGTTCCAGAGCTGTCCTTACATTCCTCCGATAAGCTGAGGAGAAGAATGGCCTTCTGATGCCCTCCGCATCCCCACCCCCTGCTCCTGAGTCAGGAGAACCTACTTGATTTCCTCCTGGAGCGCCGTCTTGAACAGCTGGAGCAGAAGGTATGCCTCCCGATGGTTGGAGGCATAGTTGTACAGACTGAAAATCACAGCCTCCATGAACTTGGTGGTTCTGTTCTGAGGCATCTGAAAGATCAGCTTGGCCAGATAGATGGGCTGAGTCTGCGAACAATCGGGGAGACAGAGGGCTGGGAATGCTCTTGGAGAACTAGCGATCAGACCCAGGTTACAAAGGTTTTCCTGACATGGAGAAAGTATCGCCTTCCCAGGGCACTGGAAAGAGTCCATACAAATGGGGAGAGGTAGGCTCTGTCCCTGGGGACGGCATGACCCAGGGCATGGAGAAGGGTAAAAGAGGCCTCAAGCTCAGGAGGTGATGGAGACTTCTTGGCTTTTTAAATTGTTTTTTTTGTTTTTTTTGTCGTGTCCCCCTGACCCCCGTGTTGTGCGTACAAGGCAAATGCTCCCCCACCAAGGCCTCTCCTCTGCGGCGAGTCCTGCTCACCTGCAGTAAGTAGAAAAGGTGCTGGTAGGCTTCCAGCTTCTGCCGTTTCTCTCTGCTCAGGGACTTCAATCCCTTCTGCTTGTCCAGGATCATCAGGTCCGAGAGTTGCTCCTTATTCTTCTTCGTCAGCTTCTTACAGTGGGATACCACCTCCTAGATGTGGGAGCAGGGGCAAATCGACCCGTCCAGACTGGTACCAACCATGAGATATATGGTCCAGACTCAGAGTCTGGAAGAACCAGGGCTCACGAGAGGAGAGGGCCCCTACAACTCCATCTGGCATCTCTGCTTTCATGGGTGAGTCTTCAAAGAGCTCTGGGTTCCCAGGCAGAGGTACTGTGTCTACTTGTGTTTGCTACTAGTTCTTATTGACTAATGTACAACCTTGGGGGTGGAGACACCACAGCATCATTGGCCTGCTACTCCTTATCTGAATGTAATTTACAGAGCTTTCATATCTGTCTCTGCATTCTGGGGGTGGGGGGGGGGAGATGGGATGGTGATAGCAACTCCTTATTCCAACGAGCTAAAGAGGAACAGACTTCAAGGTTAACTGATCACAACTTCAAGGTTAACTGATCACCTATAGCCCCTTCGATAGAAGTCAGCAGATTCAGTCATTCCCATTCTCCCACGGGCTCTGTACTACACACACATCCAATGGCTGATCACAAGGGCAGAGGACCACCGTCACAGGGACCTGAGCCAGGTGGGAACCAACCTTTCCTTTGGAAAGGACTGAATTATTAGTTGAAGAATGGATGAAGAATGAAGTAAGGATTCTCTCTCAGGAGCAGGTGGATTGGGAAAGGGGTGGCCCAGGGGGCCTCTCACCTGCAGGGTGATCCGGTTTCTTGACCAGCAGGCCAATCTTGATGTCCATGAGGTTGAGGTCCTGCTCCAGTTGCTGATTAGACCGGATTTTCCTGACCACTTCTTCCTGGAGCTTCAGCAGCTCCGCTTCAGCTGAGAAGTCCTCCTGACTCTGGTTCAAGAGGTGGGCGAACTTGCGTACCACACAGAGGGGAGGGTGGCGTGCGTGCACTGCCGGGGAGACGTGGATCAGGGAGTGTCTGTCATAAAGCCTCTTCGCCAGTACCTGCTGCACGAGGACCCCTGTGCCCGATCCCAGCCTCTTCTAACTGCCAGGTCTACCTCTTGTCTCCCACCTAGGAGCGACACAGCTGTTCCTCTCTGTCCCTCATGCACCATGCATGTGGGCCTCCCCAGTGACATCCCCCACCAAAACCAGGTCCCCCTGCACTTTTTTCATGCTCTTCAAAGGCATCCTCATTCTATCTCGCCCATTCCTCTTCCTGCTGGGCTGACCTGCTCCTCATGCCCCTGACCTGCCAGTCACAGCCCTGCCAGCTTCATGTAGCACTTGTGTGGAGTGTCCACGGCTGGGATGGGGTATAGGTAGCTAAGGCGGTCACTTTTCAATGGAGAGGTCAGAAAAAACAAAACCCCCCAAAGAAGCCTCTGAGCTAAGCTTCATGGAAACAAGACAATACATGCAATGCTCACTGAGATAGGCAGGATTCCTTGTGTCTTGTTGCTGGTTTGGTGCTTCTCAGGCAGTATTGCTATGCAGCCCAGCTAGCCTTGAACTTAAGATAACCCCCCCCACCCTCCCACCCTGCTTCCCAAGTGCTGGCTCACAGGCAGGTGCCACCAGGCCTGAGTCTGAGTGTTTTTGTTTTGATCTTATTTTATGTGTATGGGTGTTCTGCCTGCATATATGTCTGTGCACTATACAAAGGCCAAAAGGCATCAGATCCCTTGGGACTGGAGCTACAGACAGTTGTGGGTGCTAGGAATCGGACCTGGGTTCTCTTGAAGAGCAGCTAGTACTCTTAATCACTGAGCCATCTCTCCAGCCCCAAACCTAAGTGTTTTTAAAAAAAAATTCAATGGGTCAGACACTGTAGTATCCAGCTTACCGATGAGCTTCCAAAGGCAGAGAGAGGGTAGGTAACTTGGCCTAGGTTACCCAGCTGGTAACGACTGAAACAGTCAGATTTAGAGGCTGAACGAATCTAGACCCTGTGGCTAGGGGGAATCAAGTGAGGATCTAGGCAGATGATGGCTGTTGCTTTGAGAGGGGCAAGCGTGAGGGAGCTTGGGGAAACAAAAGTGGACCCTACTCCTGCAGGAGAGCAAAGAAACACTGTCAGAGGCTGTGGTCCCACCTACTATGTGCAGCCCCACCCACTACCAGGTGAGAGGTGAGAAAGGGCAACAGCAGAGGTCAGGGGAAGCTGAACGTGCCCTGTGGCTGGAGTATAGCACAATGAGGGCACGCTTGCTTTTTGTTAATTTGACACAAGCTAGAGCCATCTGAGAAGAAGGAACCTCAACTGAGAAAATGGCCCCATCAGACTGGCCTGTAGGGAAGTCCGTGGGGCATTTTCTTGATCAATGACTAATGTGGAAGGGTCCCATCTACTGTGGGCAGGGCCATCCTTGGGCAGGTGGCCCTGGGGTATATAAGTAACCAAGTGAGCAAGCCAGGAGGAGCAAGCCAGTAAGGAGCCTTCCTCCATGGCGCCTGCTTTAGTTCCCGCCTCCAGATTCCTGCCTCAAGTTCCTACCGTGACTTCTCTTAATGCTGGACTGTAGCATGGAAGTGTAAGCCAAAATAAAGCCTTTCCTCCCAAGTTGCCTTTGGTGATGGTGTTTATGATAGCCATAGGAGCCTAAGACAAGGTGTGAGAATTCAGGGCATCAAGGGCGGAGGGGCTAGAAGGTGCTGTGGCTGGACCTCAGGCAATGGGAGCCACAAGGGGTTAGTGGAAGAGACAAGAAGCAGAACTGCTCAGCTGGACAGCCCGCTCCAATCGGCACCGAGGAGCAGGACCTCAACCCCACGGACACCAAGATCAGCCAACGAGAATCGGCTTAGACTCGGGATTAGTGGATTAAAATGGCTGCAGAAATGATGGCAGGTGACCGCGTCTCTGATAGGAAGGAATCCTCAACACAGAAGCCACCAAACCACACAGGAAGTGGCCGATTCGGGGGGCTGAGGAAGTCGGAGGAGGCATTGGAAGAATACTTCCCCCAGAAACACTAAGAACCGAAGGGAAGGAAGGAAGATAAAGGGCAGGCAGAGCAGTGAGCTCAGGGTCACAGCAGGGGAGATGGTGGGAGGGAGGAGAGCAGCCTGTGCTGACTGCCAGAGGCCACTGGCCAGAGGAGGGCTAAGTAGTGAGACACTGCTCCAGGAATCCAGAGTAGGAGATGAACATGGAGATGGACCTGTATGCTAATTCCCACACAAGGCTGGGACTCCGGACTTGCAGGACACGGGCTAGGTTGGGAAAAGGACTCTACTGGAAAGTTCTTGCTGCACACACATAAGGACCTGAAATCTCAGGCTGGAAGGTGGAGACAGGGGGATCCTGGGTGCTTTCTGGCCATCAGGCCTAGTAAATCAGTAAGCTCCAGGGTCAGTGAAGATAAAGATAAAGTGGAGAGCAATAGAGGAAGACACCTGACATTAATCTCTGGCTTACACGCACGCACGCGTCCTTAAGACTTTACATGTGTGCCCAACTATAGAAAATAGAGGGCAGGAAGCTGGTGACCCCCTACTGCTCCAGCAGAAAGATTGCCAGGCCTGTGTGTCTATGCTACAGAGGCCAGGAGGTGGGAGTTCAAGGCAAACAGCACAGCTGGAAGCTCAGGGAGGGGAAAGAGCCCACCACAGGGGGATGGATATGCTAGGCCTGCTCAGAAAGTACCTGGTTAGAGGAGTCTTGCCTATGACAAAACTAGCTGGTGCTGGGAGGAGGGGGCTCTGCACACCTCTGACAACTTGTGATGGCCTTGCCCCTGCCTGCATCCCCCAAAGGGATCCCCCGGACTTGTCTGGCTCCAGGTCTCCATCTCCCCAGCATACCTAACATTCTGTAGTCATCACGGGCTTTCCTGGCTCGGAAAAATGCTTGGATCTTCACAACGGAGTCAACCTACCATGGACACAAGAGAACAGGGTGGCTGTCCTCGTCACTTTGCTCTGATCTGTGAGTAAAGACAGGTGGGAAGGGGCAGCACTCACATTCTTCTGGAAATATCGAAGGCGTCTGAGGTATTGCCTCCGGACTGCCCACATTCGGGCCCAGGCCTGGATCTGAGAGAAAAGACACTACATTCAGAACGTCAGGCTGAGACCCACCCTCAGACCCTCGCCAGGGCAATCAAGTCCAGGGTGAGGTAAGGGAAGACGGAAGTGCTCTGAGGATCCCTCAAGAGAAAGGAACCATCCCGACCATTGTCGTTACCTTGATTATCGCAGCCAGGTTTGCTTTAAAGTACTGCAGCCGCTGCTGGTAAGTCTTCCGTTGTCTATGACCCCGCCAGTGAGCCTGCCAAGCAGAAGAGGGATGACTCCTCACAACTCCTGTTCCAGAGAAAGTGTTCGAATCCCCCTTCACTCTCCCCCAGTAGTGATGATGATGCCAATAACTGGTTCTCGTGTCCTGCTTTTCTGTACAGAAACACTCTAGATATTGTCTTATAAATCGTCCTCACTACCTTGTAACGTGATACTGCCATTCCCATTTTTGCGGGGGAGAAGGGAATAAACTGAGGCACAAAAAGAAAGAACAGCTTACAAGGCCACATGGCTAACAGGTCAGGGAGTTGGGCTTCTAACCACAGTAGTCTGGCTACAGAGTCCACACCTTTTATCACTATTGCTTAGAGGTCCAAGAATCATCCCAACCCCACCCAGGGGAAGGGAAGGAGGGTGGACACCCTGTATTTCCAATCTTCCCAGGCCTGGGGAAAGCCAAGGCTGCCACCTGAATCTTGATGATGGCTGGGAGCAAGGTCCTGAGGAAGTGGGAACGCTCAGCAAACTTCTGGCGGACAAGGAAGCCCCGGAGGCGGGCCTGAAGCTGGATGACAAAGCCAACGTTGGCCTTCCAGAGGAGCTGGCGGTCATGGGCAGCGGTGACCTTGGTGATGACTGACTGTGGAGACAGGAGTCTGTAGTGGGTAGCCATTCCAGCTTTGATCTGGAAGTTCCAACCCCCACTGAGGCTTCGGTAACTGTCACGCCTACAAGGCGGGGCTGAGAGAGGACCCTAAAGACCCGAGATCAGGATGTGCCGGTGCTCCCTGGACCCTGGATGCTGGAGGTAGACCAAGCAGAGTTCTCCAGAGAACACCGCCGGACTGCGCCACACCTTTCCCAGACCCTGCTACCTATCCCTTCATTTGTGAGTTACCACGAAATAAACCTCCCTTTTAACTACGCGGAGTGGCCTTAATAATTTCACCAATAGGAGTCCTTTGTGTGTAGAAGCCTCTCCCCACGCACAATCCCTGCCAACCTGGATCTCCTCCCAGGTTAGACGGGAGGTATTGAGGTGGCAGCTGGGAGGATGTTCCCAAGTCCCCTGGAAGGTCTGCAGATGGAAGTAGTAGGCCGTGCCATCCTTCATGTCATGTTGGACCCAGAAGGCTGTGTCCCCTGAGTAGAAACTCGAGTAAGCCAAGAGGGCTCAGAGGCGGTGGCTAGACGCAGCGGAGGAAGGTTGGGTCAGGGCGGTTACCAGGACGTCGCTTCTTCGCCACGGCTTCTTCCAGGGCCTGCTGGTAGCTGTCAGCACAGCTGGGAATTATCCCTCGGAGAGCCACGTTGGGGTTCCTCAACACCCGCTCTGTCTGGGCGGCCTTGCCCTCCTTGATGGCCTGATTGATGGCAGCCACACCCAGGGCTACTGATGGGCATCAGGAGAGAAAAGTCAGTCCTCTGGGGTCCCTCCCACGAGCCCTGTCCCGTCCAGTGGGGTCGGAGTCAGGAGACACACACAGCTGCCATGGCTGATGGAGGGCATGGGGAGTGCCAAGGGTGGCGCAGCGGTACTCGGGAAGCAGCAGCAGTGAGGAGAAGGGGGAGCAGTTAGGGACAGGCTCCCGTGGGAGCTAAACTCTTGAGTATCGCCTGTCCAGCTGTGTGCCAGCAAATCTACCCTGTGGGCCAAGAACCCTCCTGCTCCAATTCTGTCCTGCCCCCCTGTGCCTACTGGTTTCGGTCGACTTGCCATGAATCTAGACATATCTGGGCAGAGGGAATCTTAATTGAGAAAATGCTCCCACTGGATTGGCCTATGGGCAAGCCTGTAGGACATCTTGATTAATGATTGATGTGGAAATCCATGGTGAGCGGTGCTACCTGCGGGCTGGTGGTCCTGGGGTGTTTAAGAAAGCAAACTGAGCAAGCCATGAGGAGCGAGCCAGGAAGCAGCACTCCTCCATGCCCTCGGCTTTGGTTCCTGCCTCCTGGTTCCTGTCTTGAATTCCTGCCCTGACTTCCCTTGATGACGGACTGGGATGTGGAATTGTAAGACTAAACCCTTTGCCCCCCCAGGGCGTTCTCATCCACGGTGTTATCCAGCAATAGACAGCAAGCAAAGGCGCTTCCTATGGCTAAGGCGAGACAGGGGTGGGGCTCCACCCTCCCGGTGCCTGGCTGTTTACTTCTCTGGGCTGTGTTTGTGTCCTCATTGGCTCTGGCCACTCCCTGGCGGATCTCCTCCAGCCACAGTACAGCCTCAGGATCTCCTGTCACCTGGCAAATAGAAAAAGAAGATGAAAAAACACAAGATCCCAAACAGGTATCCCCAGGCTCCCACAAGCCCAGCAGGGAACTAAAGTAGAGCAGACACCGGAAGCAGCTGGGAAGGCTCCCTTCTCCCTCCCCTGTGGAGTCATGACCCCATGCTCAGAGGCTCTTTTCTTACTCTGCTTTCATAATCTGAGCATGGCTCAGATGAGGCCAGGCTCGGTGTGGCCTCAGGGCTCTCTCCAGCTTTCGTACCCTCAGTACTCAGCCCCTTCTGACAGCTCTATTGCTAGCCTTGTGTCTCGGCCACGCCTGGGGACACCTACCCTGCAGCCCTCCCTATCTCCCTCTACCTCAGGTCACAGCCCTTAGCCAGATCCCGGCTCTTACTCTATGGCTCCTGGCTACACATTTCTTGTCACCAAAAAGTAGTAGGAAGACTGCGTCCACAGGTCAAGGAAGCCTGTGCTTGCTGTGGTCAGTCCGAACCCAACCCAACTCAATGCGCTCCTCTCAGCTGCCTGCCTGTCTTTACTTTCTTTTTTTTTTTTTTTTTTTTCTCCGAGACAGGGTTTCTCTGTGTAGCTTTGGAGCCTGTCCTGGAACTCACTATGTAGACCAGGCTGGCCTCGAACTCACAGAGATCCGCCTGCCTCTGCCTCCCGAGTGCTGGGATCAAAGGTGTGCGCCACCACCACCCGGCCCTGTCTTTTCTAAGAGGGTCTGTAGGCCAAGCCAACCTCAGACTCACTGCAGGTGTGAGCTATCAGGTATTGTTCCTAGGACTTTTCTTGTGAATTCATTTTTCTAGAGAACTTTATTTTTAGTTAGGTGTATATGTATATATCTGTGTGGAGGTGTGTACATGTGAATGAAGTGTCCTGAAGAGGGGATCAGATCCTCAGATCCCCTGTATCTGGGGTTGTGAGCCACCTGAGGTGGGTGTTGGGAACTGAACTCAGACCCTCTGGAGCAGCATCAAGCACTCTTAACCACCGAGTCAGCTCTCCAGCCTCATGAATCAGTACCTGTGAGGCACATCAAGCAGTACCGGGCACAGAGTGTAAACTCAATAAATGCCGACTAGCACTCCTGCCGTGGTTCCAAACCCAACAGCCGTGAGAGAAGCTCGTTCCTGTCACAGGTTTGCGGGGGTGGGGGGATGGCAGCACAGGGAGGCTCCATGATGCTGCAGGGTGAGACTGCAGGATGCGAGCTCAGTCATCTGGCACAGGGCCCCAGGTCTCAGCCTCATTCTGCTGCCACACAACGCAGGGTGTGTCAGTTCGAATCCCCTGCTCCACTGTTAGCTCACGGGATTCGCAGCACGGGGTGCAAGGGCAGAGCATGTAGAGTCTTACAGGTAAGTACACACACCCCAGGGATACTGAGGGACTGCTCAAGATCAGATGATCACTGGGGATCAGAGTGGGGACTCCAGTCACCCGATCTCTAGGCCTGCTCTTTTCCCACACTGTCCTGGAATGAAGTCCACACTTTGCTATAACAGTCAAATCCTGCCTGTGCCTCACCCGGTTCAGAGTCTGTATCCACGAGGCTGAAACAGTTTCAGAGTGCATGCCGGGCAGTGCCCGAGGCCAATCCCCTTGCTGTAGTGTCTAACCCAGCCATCTATCCCTAACCTTACCTTGGCTTTCTTCCTCTTGGCTGCCACGAGGAGGAGATGATACCGAGGTGCGACATGAAGGCTGACGTCTTCCAGGCCAGCTGCTGGAAGCAGCAGGGCAGACAGGGTTTTTTCAGGAAAGCCCTGGTCCAGAGCCTCATTGATGAGGCTGATGGCGAGGACCTCTGCGGAGGACATCTAGATGAGCAGCAGTCCCAGACTCAAGACTGAGGGCAAGGTTGTCCGAGGGGGGTACTCACGCTCTGTTTCCTCCTGGACCTGTGCATTGACCTGGTACACGGCGGCCTGCAGGTCATTCCAGCTCAGGAAGGCTCTATCCAGTCCTCGAAGCTGCTGCACCCTCACCAGGGCATCGAAGTAACTAGCAGCAGAGAAGAGGAGTGATGTGAGCAGCCATGTGAGTGGTGTGGGAACAGCCACAAGTGGAGAAAGCTTTGAGTAGGCTCCTCCCCAGGCCACCACAATTTACAGGGTGTCTTCTCCCTTTACATGCTGTTCTGAGGCCCTTGTGTGGAACATGGAGTTCCTCAAGCTTCAGTCCTCTCTTCCCTCTGTGCCCTCATGCCAGATCTCAGCCATTCACCAGGCCTTTCATGACTTACACTAACGAATCCCTAAAGCATACTTACATCCCTCATAGGCCCTAGGGACTGCTGAGGATCTCCCCCTGAATGCCAGACATCCCCATCCCCTCCGTCTATCTTTGTGCCTCAGCCTGTCCCTTCTGGATAAACATCTGTTGACTCATCTCCCCCCTGTTCCCTCTGCTTTCAGAACACATTCACATTGCCGCCTTCTTCCCATGCCTGCTACTTCCCCCTTGGGTGTAGCAGCGCTCCTAAAAGGCATCCCTGCTGCTCTGCCCTGGCCCGGGCCCTGTGGTGGAGTCTCAGCACACAGCCAGAACGATCTTGGTAAGCAGGTCCAATGGACTCCTTCATTGCTGAACACCCCATAGCTGCCTTCCATGCTTGAGGACATTGGCTGGTCTCTGCTAACCCACTTCCTTCCTGCAGCACTCCATTTGGCCACTCTGGCTTCCTGGTAGTCTTTGTTTTTAGTTTTTTGGAACTTTGGGAAGTTAAACCAGAGCCCCAGACATGTCACACAAGCACTCAACCACTGAGCTATTCCCAGGCTCCCCCTGATGTCCTGTGAGTGCATCAAAGATACTCTCCTGTCCTGATGAGCATCACAGGAATAACTCAGGCTCCTTAGGTCCTTCTCCATATGAACCTCTCTCAAAAGCCATCTATCACTACACTATGTGACTAGGAAAACTGCCCCTCTCCCACCCTGTCCCGTTTTCATCATGACTCCTGCTTGTGCGTATGCTTGCCAAGAGCAGGGATTTGGTTTAGTCACTGTTTTCAACACCTAGGATGGCATCTGGCAGTGTGTAGGCACTCAAACATTTGCTCTGAAAAAGTGGAGAGGAAACTGGATGACCATGTGCTCCCCCACTGGGGAAGAAACACAGGAGAGGCAACAGGACTGTGAACAGGACTAGGGGCTGGGACCAGAGCGGGTGCCGCACAGAAGGCTGCTGTGAACAGGACCAGGGGCTGGGACCAGAGCGGGTGCCGGACAGAAGGCTGCTGTCCGGTGTCGGCTGCACTCATGCTATCCTTCACTTCTGACACGTGGCTCACCGTTGAGCATTTTCTTCTTCGACCTGGGCCAAGCCAGTAGCAGGGTTCACCAGATTGGCCCAGAAGGCACAGGCATCTCTAGTTTCCAGAGCCCGGTTAATCAGAACCACAGCTGAGAGCATCTCCACAGCCACAAAGAGCTCCTCCTGGCCCAGCTCCTGTAGAGGAAGAGAGCTGAAGGGAGTTGGGGGTCTACTGGAGCCAGCCTACCCCAACTCTCCAATATCCCATCTCCATCCCCAAGTTCCAGGAGCTCCATTTACTCCCCAACACCATTCATGTCAACACCTGGGCCACATTCATGCACCGACACTACTCATGCTCAACACCTAGGACGCATTCATTCACCAACGTTTAGTCTTTACACCTGGGGATGTTTACCGTGAACACAACCATGAAGACCACACACAGTGCCGTCTTAATTTCCACAACTAAGCCAAATGAGGTATGTACCATTGACAGCCCCATTTCCCAGCCCAGCTCATAGCTAGTAATGTGGGTTAAATGGTGCCTGCCTGATTGCAGAGCCTACACTCAGCACGTGACCTCTGCCAACAGCCTTCCGGTCCCATGTCATATCGAGAACTATATGAAACCAGTTGTAGGGAGGAACGCCTGTGGTTCCAGTACTCGGGAGGCAGAGGCAGAATAATCAGCTCCATAAGTTCAAGGCCAGCATGAGCTATGTAGATCCTGTCTCTCAAAAAGCCAAAATGGACAGAGAGAGAGACAGACAGACACAGAGTCAGATAGTCAGAGGCCCTGGCCCCATTTTCCAACCCACTTTCTTTCTGGCTTCCCTTCAAATATTTGCTTAGACGGCTCCCTTTTTCTGGAGCATTCTTCCTGCATTTTACAAGTAGAGCCACAAACAACAATAATGATGGCTAAAACTTACTTCTCTAAGGAACTTCTCCAAGCAACATATGCTAACTCACAGAGTCCTTGAAACAATCCTGTGAGGTTGGTACCATTTATGAAGAAACCGAGAAGCAGAGAAAGTAATGAACTGCCAATGTCACATATCTAAGAAGTAGCAGAGCTAGATTTAAACTCAGGCCTCTCAGGTCATCCTTCAGTACTACGCTTTCACCCCATATTTCTGTGGTGCTGTCCTGTACCCTTGCTGAAGACACTGCTGTGTGCGGGTCATGTCTGAAGTTAAGTGTTCTAGAAACACCTGCTGTTGGGGGAATTCACTGTGGAGTCTCTTCCAGGAAGCCTTCCCAGACTTCCCCCAGCACTGCTTGCTCCATTTTCCTGGTCACTGCTGTACAATCTTCTTCCACCTACATCATCTGCTCTTCTCTCCACCTCTGCCTGGCCCCTCCCTTGGGTGGCCTCTAACTCCTGCAGCTGACAGGGATGACCCGAAGCAAAGCTCGTGCCTCACTCTCAGAAGAGCTGTGTGGACAGGAGTGAGGTGGGGCAGCCTCGTGGTTAAAGCATGTCCCGCCAGTGTATTCAGCTCTGAATTCAGCCACAGCACTGCCAGTCAGCCGAGCAGGCAAGCACTCAACGTCTGCGACCCTCTTCTTACCTCTGAAGTAGAAAACCAGCACTTACCTGGCAGGGCTGCTGCCCACGCCGAGTGTGTGTGGCGCTACTGGCTGCCATGATGCTCCTAAGGAAGCAGCCCTGCCCATCCTACTGTCTGAGCACCACCCCCACCCCCCACCCCCTGAGCTGCTTGGGAGCCCCAGAACTTACCCCCTGCTGCTGCTTCTGGAGCACAGCCAGCTCCTGCTGGTACACAGCAGAGGCAAAGGGGTACACTTGGGGCAGCTGGGCTTCTGGGCACATGAGCTCCTTCACAGTGTCTGTGGCCACCCCCCTCTGGATGGCTCTGTTGATTCTCCACACCGCCTGGAGCACTGCAGAGGACAGCAAGAAATCCCACAGGCTGAGTGCTCCCTGTCTTCTCTGCTCTCCTTATTAGCCAGGCTCTGCTGGGATCTCTATGGGAAATGGCTCTGTAACACTTCTAGACCGCCATTCTGCTAGATTCAAAATGCATTTCTAAATGTTCCGGAGGAAAGGCGGATGGGGTACTTTAAAAGCGAGGCTATGGCCGGGCAGTGGTGGCGCACGCCTTTATCCCAGCACTTGGGAGGCAGAGGCAGGCAGAGCTCTGCGAGTTTGAGGCCGGCCTGGGCTACAGAGTGAGTCCCAGGATAGCCAGGGCTACACAGTGAAATTCTACCCTGAAAAACAGGTGCTCTGTGAAAGGCAAAGCGCTGGGCCCAGAAGTTGCGTAGGTTAGAATGCAGCAGAAAAGCGGCTGTCACAGCAGCGGTGAGTTCCCAAGGCAGCGAGCGTGGATTGACAGGTGGTGATGGTGCATAACTAAGATGAAGTAAGTCAAAGGGCTCTGGGGACCAAGCCTTGGTGACAGTGCAGAGAAACAGAGCCAGCTCCATTTACACCAGAGGGGGTAGAGGAAGCTAAAGGGCCACAGCACACAAGTGTGCTGAGTTGACGTACTCTGGGGCCAGTCAAGTGCCAGCAGAAATGGACACCCGCTCCGAGGAGCACAGAATCGTGTTGGGGGGGGAATAAGGACACGCCAAGACCTGCAGTGCCCAGCTGACGAGGCCAGGCTAGAAGTGGGCCCACCCCAGCTCTGGCCGTGCTGAGGAGGGGCTTCTGACTGGGAGCAAGCAGACAGTTTTACAGAGAAGCCCTGGAGACAGCTCTGCAGACGTTTCCACCTGCTTCTGACAGGTGAAATGTGGGAGGAATGTCATTCGGAGGCCTGGAGGCCAGGGGCTGGGAAGGGAGCAAGGAAGAACAGCCTGTGTGGCTCAGCTGCACTGGGTGAAATGTGAGCTGAAAAGCAAGGGGGGAGCACCCGAAGGCCTCACCTGCCAGGCCCAGGGGGTGGAACCAAAGTGTGAGATAAAGAATGAAAGAGTCAGGGCTGGAGAGATGACTCGGCCACTAAGAACACTTGCTGCTCTTGTGAGGGGCAGTTCGGTTCCCAGCACCCACACAGTGGCACATAGTCACCCATAACTCCAGTCCCAAGCCTCCACTTCTGGTCCCCATGGGCAATGTATGTATACGGTGCAGACATACATGCAGGCAAATCACTCATAGACTTAAATATATAAAAAAAAAAACAAAATAAGTAAATCTTTGTTGTTTGTTTTTCAAGACAGGATTTCTTTGTATAGCCCCAGCTCTGTAGACCAGGCTGGCCTCCAACTCACAGAGATCCACCTGCCTCTGTCTCCTGAGTGCTGGGATTAAAGGCGTGCGCCACCACCGCCCAGCATAAACAAATCTTCAAAAAAGAACGGAAGAGCCAGTTGGGTGTGGTGGCGCACATCTGTGACAGAAGCACTCAGGGTTACCCCTGGGAAGCGAAGTAACTATCACATTGTGCTCCAGGCCAGCTTGAGCTACACAGTAAGACCCTATCTCAAAAGACAAAACAAAGCAAGAGTGGAGAGCCGAAGCTTTTCTACTAAGAGATCTGCACCAAGATCGCTCTGGCAACAACAATCAGAAATGAAGTGGGCTCCCAGGGCAGGCAGCAGCCGGGAGCAGTCCGGGGAGAGATTGCCACTTGAAGGCTGTTACTCAGAGGTATATGGTGACTGAGTGACTTCAAACCTGACGTGGAGGCCAAACTACACACCCAGTAGCTGCTGCCCCAGGACTCTGTCTTCATCCACACCCTGAATACACAGTTACAGTTGCATATCATTTTTTTTTTTTTTTTTTTGGTTTTTCGAGACAGGGTTTCCCTGTGTAGCTTTGCGCCTTTCCTGGAACTCACTTGGTAGCCCAGGCTGGCCTTGAACTCAGAGATCCGCCTGGCTCTGCCTCCCAAGTGCTGAGATTAAAGGCGTGCGCCACCACCGCCTGGCTGCATATCATTTTGTTTGTTTGTTTGTTTTGTTTCTTTTATCATCCATGTAGGATTGTTCTGCCTGTATGTGTGTGTACCACATGTGTCTCGTGCCTGCAGATCCAGTTTGGATCCCCTGGAACTGGAGTTACAGATGATTGTGAACCACCATGTGGGTACTAAGAACTGAACCCTGGTCCTCTGCAAGAGCAACAAGTGTTCTTAACCACTGAGCCATTACAGCCGTACATATAATGTTCCTAGCTGTCCTGGAACTCACTCTGTAGGCCAGGCTGGCCTCGAACTCACAGAGATGAACCTGCCTCTGCCTCACAAGTGCTGGGATTAAAGGCGTGCGCCACCACTGCCTGGCTCATATAATGTTTTTTTAAGGGACACTGAATTAGAATGTGTTTTGTCCTTACCTGAGAAATCACATTTCAGAAGCCAAAGAAATATAAACAGGAAGAAACAAAATTACAGGCAAACTCCCCAGAAGGAGCCTGGTTCTGAGTGGCAACAGGACGTCATTATCTTTCCTTTGATTCGTCCCTCTGGGGATGCAGAAGGCAGAGGAGGTGAAGAGTAAAGTTCCTTGTTAGGCCTGGAACTGGACGGCTGTTTGCTTCGTCCAATACATATGCCAGTAAAGGAGCAAGGTACATTACCAGGAGCCAGCAGACCCCCAACCCCTGCCTGGAGATGACTTACTGGCTTGCTCTTGATCGCCCTTCTCATTGGCTGCAGCCACCCCAGCCTGGACCTCCTCCTTTTCTAGAAGCCTCACCAGACCCAGCTCCTGCAAGAGGGCAGAGGTGCAGTAGAAGAGAGTCCCCAGACCATGAACGTGCATCAGGAGCTGCCAGGACTCAGTCCTGCCTCTCCCTTCAGGTGGAAGGACCTGGCCTACCTTTCTATCTCTCTCTTTTTTTTTTTTAAACCCAGCATATGTCTAAAATAACAACAGACTAGATGTGAGTATAAATAACATCAAACAGAAAGGCAGTGCATTAAGGGCTAGAGATGGCTCCCTGGTGAAAGTGCTTCCCACGTAAGCACAAGGACTGGAGATTGGATCTCCAGAACCCATGCAAGCCTTGCCTGTAATTCCAGCCTTAGATGCAGAGACAGGATTCCCAGATCAACCTGGCTAGTGAGACTAGCCACATTGGTGAGCTCTGGGCTCAGTTAAGAGAACCTGCCTCAGTGAATAAGGTGGAGGAGTGGTTTCGGATGATTCTTGACATCAATGTTGGACCTCTTATACACGCGCCCACACATTTGCCCTCCCCCGTGTGAACACACATAGAGACACACACTTAAACCACAGACATACATGCATGAAAAATACAGGAGGAGGGGGGTCAAAGCATTGAAAATAAAGTTGATAAATCAAGACCCCAATTCAGCAATGAGAAGCATATCGTTACCTAATGGACTGGCCTGGTCCTTCCCTCCCAGTCTGAGACTCTAAGCAGAGCAGACAGCCTGGTCCACTATGCTTTGGGGGATGATTCAGCCATTTAAAAATGGAGTCAGTGATGATATGCACATAAAAGGCATTTCCTACCCTACAGGCAGACAGGTGTTAGTCAGAGCCTGACCTGTGACTTCTGCTCTCTGTCCGAACTCAGTTGTTCCAGGTACCAGCCAGCCAAATCTCTTCTTACCCCTTGCAGGGCCAGGACAGGATCTTGAAGGGCCTCAAGCAAGGCCCCAGGGCTTTGTCTCTCCAGAGCATCATCAACAACTTCTAGAGCCCCCTGGACTGAAAAACAGCCCAATTCCAAGTGTGTGAAAACTACCTCGTACCATCCCCAGCCAATCCTGGGAATTTGCCTTCTTCTTGCCTTCCAAAAGTTGCCTCTATCCTTGGCCTCTGACACAGTGAGCTCCTGTGGTCCAGGCTACATTTTCCTCTTGGTCTTCATAGCCCTCCCATCTCACTGTTCCTGAGTGACCCTGAAAATACCCTGATCCTAGCAGGCCAACGGCCTCTCGTTGTGAGTCTTCAGGTTGTCCCTCTGTCCACCATCCTCCCTACTCCATCTATCCTCAGACTTCCTTCTATTCTTCCTGCTTCCTTTTCTTTTGAGAAAGTCTCACAATATGGCCCTGTGAGTCCTTGAACTCTTAATCTTCCTGCCTTAGCCCCCTGACAGCTGGGATCACAGGTGTGTGGTATTACTCCCAGCTACACTCCCTTCTTGAAGGACCCTAATCCAAACATCCACCCCCAGCACTGGGAGCTGAAAGGCCTGTCCATTTGCCTCTGTCTTAATAATAATTTTCCATCCCATAGGAGCTCCCTGGTATGTGGCCAGAGAGCAGGGCATAGAATCCCTGGCCTATGAGTTTTCCCTAAGGCAGGAACTAGCTCACATAAGGTCATGGGGCTTATTAAAGCAGTCATCTCCCAGCTTCCCAGGCTCTCCCAGTCATCTCTTACCATTGGCAAGGTTGATATGGCCCTGGATCTCTGCCTGGGTGAGGCAGGACTCATAGATGTCCTGTTCTTGACCGTCATCCTGCAAAAGCAAGATGGAGAGACTCGGAGACACTGCGATCTTCCTCCCTACCCTTGTCACACTCACTTCTGTAGATCAATGGCCAGGCCAAAGACCAGTCTGCTTAGGCCTCGGAGGAGAACCTGGGGGCTAAGCCCTGGCACCAACAGTTAAGCCAATCATCCTGTGGATTCCCCAGGCTAGGCTCATCTCGTGCTTCATTCCAGAGCCAGTTCAGCCATCCAGACTCTTCTCCAGCCTTCTTTCTCAACAGACATCATCCAGGCTCCTCCCCTACTTCTCTAAGTCACGGGCATATCTTTGGAACTCGAGGCAGGACAAACTGAGTCTTCACTCTACTTAAGACTCCCCAGGCCTCTCAACTTATTCCCTCTATATCCCAAAGTGTCTCCTTACGTGGTTCCTGGCATTGGCAGCCTTCTCCATCTTGGCTAGGGCCAGCAGCTCTTGGTAGACCGCTGCCAGAGGTTCCCGAAGATTCCCCAGAAGAGCATTAGGATTCTTCAAGGCAGTCAGAGTGTCCTCCACCACGCCTCGCTCCACTGCATCGTTGATGGCAAGAACAGCTGCGTGGACTTGGAGGGGCAGGAGAACAAGGTCAAGAAGCCAGAGAGGACCCAGACCAGAGCACAGCTAACTGTAGCGCCAGGGAGCCTGACCCTTCTGCCTGTGGATATAAGAGATGCCAAAGCCCATCCAAGGGCTACAAGGCTTGTCATCGTCCTATCCCATGTCCTGTCCCCCACCCACACCCCATCCCATGCTCCCATGTCCTACTCTAGGGCAAAGCCCTACCTGCAGCCTCATCGGCTGAAAACTCATTGGCTAGGATGCCCCCGATCTTGCTGAAGGCTGGTAACTGGAGGCCATATTTGGCCAGTTCAGAGGCGATGTTGCTGAGTTCCTCAGCTGCAATGGTACCAGAGGTATTCTTCATTAGGCTCAGAATCCCCATGCCCCTGCTTAGTCTATGAACCAGAGGAAGGACCTGGCTTACCTGTGAATTTCACCTTCCCATACAGGTCATGGATCTGAGGGGCCAATCCCAGCCGGAAGAGGAAGAGACTGGGAAGAATGGAAGGCATAAGGACACACTGGGATCTACTGATTTCCACACCTTGTCCACAATAGGTATGTAAAATTGCAATGGAGGCCGAGAAGTAAAGAGCACTTAGCACTTGGCCCTGAGTCACTCTAGTACACAGAGATAACCAGCCACGACAAGAAAGAGCTACAGAACAGAAATAAGACGCCACAGGGAGCCTCTGGATGGTTCCACAGAGGACACACTGCAATGGAACGTCACAGGTGGACAAGAGGAAGATACAGTAAACAAAGCTGCTGAAGCCAGGGATGGAAGCAAAGAAGGGCATGGGAAGGGGAGTTATAAAGAGATGACACAGCGGACACAGGAACTGGACGGTCCCATTCTATGATTCAGCCAACTGGTATACCTGCCTGTGAGTAGAACCCAGTGGCCTTCCCTGCTTGTAATAAGTGGCTTGCATGTGATGCTCTTGATGGGTCCTGGTTCTGATTCATTCATGTCCCAGTCACAAACTAAGGACTTTATCCTGCTGTTCCTTCATTTCCAAGGCTCACATATGAATGTGCCCACATACATATGAATGTAAATACCCATGCAGATCTAAAATCTTACCCTCCCCTAAACTGCTCTTTTGGCTATCCTCCCTCTTTTCTTTTATATTTATTGCTATTGATTGATCCATCTATTGATCTGCCTAGAGCAGTGGTTCTCAACCCATGTGTTGCGACCCCTTTGGGGGTTGAATGACCTTCTCATGGGGTCACCTAAGATGATCAGAAAACACAGATATTTATAATTCATAACAGTAGCAAAATTACAGTTATGAAGTAGCAACAAAATAATATTATGGTTGGGGGTCACCACAGCATGAGGAACTGTATTAAAGAGATGCAGCATTAGGAAGATTGAGAACCAGTGACCTAGAAGAACCTGGCTGACTAAAGTCGGGGGTGTCTCACCTGAGAGCATGAATGCAATAGATCACCCGAGGCATATTCTTCTTGTCGTAGATGTCCGTGGTCTCTGGGAGGAAGATCTAGAGGAGAAACCAGACAATTGCCGTACAGAGGAAGGTAGTGCAGTAAGGCTTCCAGGCTGGTGTGGGACAGGAGGTGTGGGCTGAGCAATGCACCTCTCTCCAACCAGAGCTGTGAACACCACAGCCGGGCTTCTCAATCAGTTTCTATAACCATCCCCATTCAGTCCAATGTGAAAAAGGCTTACTGAGCCAAGACACAGCCAGTGTCCAGGGTCAGCTGACCACTAGGTGAGACCTCAGGGGCCAGAGGATGCAGGCCATAGCCTCCAGGAAACACACACCCCAGGCACTCTGTCTCCGTGAGCCCGGTCCGTGACCTGAGATTTCCACCACATACATGATGTGCTGGGGAGTTGACCATGCTCCCAGGGAAGGCCCAACGAGGCATGGATTGCCCAGGCAGAGGCCTCTGATCTGTAGAAGCCCCTTTAAGAATTGAAACCTAAGCTCAGCACATCCTACAATACATTCAGCTTCTTCTTTTTTTTTTTTTCGAGACAGGGTTTCTCTGTGTCGCTTTGGAGCCTGTCCTGGTACTCACTCTGTAGCCCAGGCTGGCCTCAAACTCACAGAGATCCGCCTGCCTCTGCCTCATGAGCTGGGATTAAAGGTGTTCACCACCAGCGCCCAGCTGAGTAGCTGTGCTATTAACCCTTTTTTTTTCTCCCTTTCTTTCTTCTTCTTCTTTTTTTTGAGACTGGGTCTGTCTATGTAGCCCTGGTTGGACCAGAACTCACTCGGTAGACCAGACTGGCTTTGAGCTCACAAAGATCTGCCTGCTTCTGCTTCCCAAGTGCTGGGCTGAAAGGCGTGTGCCACCAGGACATGCCTTTTGTTGTTGTTGAAAAAGGGTTCACTAGATAATGCAGCTGGCCTCAATGTCACAATTTTAGATTTGCATCACTACACCCACCAAAATGTCCTGGCTACTATTTCCATGCACATGTGTGCATGCGCGCGTGTGTGTGTGTGTGTGTGTGTGTGTGTGTGTGTGTGTGTGTAAGCACAACCTGCAGGAGTTGGTTCTCTTCTTCCACCATGTGGCAACTGGGGATCACACTCAGATTGTCAGGTTCAGCAGCAAGCTGCTTGACCTGAGGAGCCATCGAACCTCATCTTTTTGTTTTTGTTTTGTTTGTTTGTTTATTTTCAAGACAGGGTTTCTCTGTGTAGCCCTGGCTGTCCTGGAACTCACAGAGATCCACCTGCCTCTGCCTCCCAAGTGCTGGGATTAAAGGCATGAGCCACCACCGCCCAGCTCACCTCATTTTTATAGTTACCTTCTACAGGGAAGGACCCCCACACTGCAGAATCCTGCCTAGCCTTAGTTGGTATAGTGCTTTACAAAGGGAATTTACACAGGCCCTCCAATTCTCCTACCAACATCATAGGTGGGAATTATCACACCTACTTTATAGGTGAGAAACAAGCTGGGGTTCACAGAGGGAAAGGACGTGTAACATGAGTACAGATGGTCTCGGACCTAAGGCTCCAGTCGGAAGTCTCCCACCTGGGGATGGGGCAGGTTCTTGCTTCTCTCTGAAATTCTGTGCCTGGCTGACATGAGCCCCACCCACACTACACCTGCGCTCCACTACAGGACAGTGCTGATGCCCCTCAGCCCAGGATCCACGGGAGGTGAAGGCAGAGCCCAAGCAGCCTGGTTCGAGGGCACAGAGCCCCAAGGAACGGGGCCCTTAGAGCAGACAGATAACCATCTTGGCACCCCGTTTTACCGAAGGCAGGCCGATGTGTGCTACTGCAGAAAGCCAAAAGTTGATGTTGTCTGTGTGCCGGAAATGCAAGCCCGTTGCCTGAAGGGAGAAAAGAGAATGTTTCTACAGTTTTCAGGGTGCCCTATGGGTGGAACTCAGATGCCAGCTTGAAGATTCATGGGGGAAGGGTAGACAGAGCCAAAGGACCCCATTCTGTGGATCCCCCGCCCCACGGAACAGAAAAACAGCTGAAACCACCAGGAATGGGTGAGCCAGCTGGATAATGGGAAGGCTGGCATAGGACAGGAGGCTTGGGCTGGCTAGAATGCAGAAAAGGGACACATGCCCAGAAAAGCCCTTCAGGGTGGCAAAGCCCATGAGCCTTGGAGTGAGCACCATTTGCACCTCGGGGCATCTTAAGGCCCATGCAGCAGTACCCCACCCCACCCTCCACCCCCTGCCAGCAGAGCACCCACCCGGCAGAGTGGCACTGGCAAACACCTACTGCCCTAGTACCATTACTTGTACTTCTTTTCAGCCTCAGGTCATGTACAGACTCTCAAGATACAGGGTCACTATACCCTCACAGCTGTGACAAGGAGCATCTTGGGAGGGAGAGAGGGCAGACGGATTAACCACACTGTGCCCACCTGGTACCGCAGCTGTTCCATGTCATAGATCTTCTTCAGGGGGACCACAGAGGGTGCAAAACAGTGGCCCAGCTTGGCCAGTAGCACTCCATTCCGGAGGCTCTCCTCCAGCTCTACTGGGGCAGGAAGCTCCTCCTTCAAGCACACCTCCATCCAGCTGTGAGCAGGAGAGCAGTTCTTACCCACTGGCAGGCCACACAGGTACTTGTAGAACCTGCCCATCCCTCAAGTGCCCTGATGCACCATTCCTTCCCTACCCCAAATTCCCCTCTCTCCCTATTGCTTTGCTGTTCCTCACTTCCCCCAAGCCGCTACAGATGCCTCAACAAGCCAACCTTTGCCTCATTCATCCTGGAAAGTCTCCCTCAGTGGTTCCCACACCTGCCTGTCTTCAAGGAGGTGTAGCCAGACTCTTACCCTGTTATGTAAGGGAACCCCTCACTGTCTGGCTACAATACCTGACTCAACCCAAAAGGAATCTGCCACCTCTCTCATTCTGCATGGTTCTGAAAACTTAGGTGCAGAAAGCCCTTGTCTGAGGGAATGATCTCCACAGCTCACAGTTCAGTTCTGAGGATAACAGGGGCGTTAGGGGCCCTGTGGGTTGATGAAACAGCACACGGGACAGAAAGGCCAGACCTCTTAGAATCAGACTTTCCAACCCATCTCCCTCACTTCGACTCTGAAACTCAATTGCATTCGGCAAAAATGAGGCCGACATCACTGGTACTGCCGGCTTCAGTGGGCAGCTGCCAGAATCGGTGAGCTGGCGATTCTGAGCACACTTGGAATATAAATAAATGCATTTTACCGCTGGTGGCTATACAGGGCAGGCATAATGACTCCTTGGGTAGACTCTCCAGACACTGAGGACTACAGATATGTTTCCAAAGAGAGCCAAGTATACCTTGCTTCATTCTATCCCTGCTAGACACCTGATTCATTTATTTATTTATTTACACCTGATTCATTCATTCATTCATTCATTCATTCATTCATTCATTCATTCGGTTGGTTTTTCAAGACAGGATTTCTCTGTATAGCCCTGGCTGTTCTGGAACTCGCCCAGCCACAGGGGGCAAAAAAAAATAGGCGGTGGTGGCACACGCCTTTAATCCCAGCACTTGGAAGGCAGGGGCAGGTGGATCTCTGTGAGTCTGAGGCCAGCCTGGTCTACAGAGCGAGTTCCAGGACAGACTGGACTCTTTTTTTTTTTTTTTTTCTGAGACAGGGTTTCTCTGTGTAGCTTTGTACCTTTCCTGGAACTCACTTTGTAGACCAGGCTGGCCTCGAACTCACAGAGATCCGCCTGCCTCTGCCACCTGAGTGCTGGGATTAAAGGCATGTGCCACCACCACCCGGCCAGACAGGACTCTTAAACGGAGAAACCCTGTCTCAAAAATAAATAATAATAATAAATAAAAATAGCCGGGCGTGGTGGCGCACGCCTTTAATCCCAGCACTCGGGAGGCAGAGCCAGGCGGATCTCTGTGAGTTCGAGGCCAGCCTGGTCTCCAAAGCGAGTTCCAGGAAAGGCGCAAAGCTACACAGAGAAACCCTGTCTCAAAAATAAATAAATAAATAAATAAATAAATAAATAAATTTAAAACATTTTTAAAGGAAAGAAAAAGGGACTGGGGAAATGACTCAGTAGGTCAGAGTGCTTGCCACACAGGTCTGAGCTCAAATCCCCTGCACCCTCATAAAACCCCAGAAGATGGCTGGGGTATGCTGGCCACTAGCCTAGCTCCAGGTTTAGTGAGAGACCTTGTCTCAGGGAAATAAAGTGGAGAGAGACACACCAGGACATTTGACATCCTCTTCTGATGTCTATACACACCTCACATACATACACCAAACACAATAACACACACACACACACACACACACACACACACAATGTATTTGTCATGCCCTTCCTTGGTAAAATGAATCATAAGGTAACCAAATAGCCCTCAGATGATGAAAGAATAAAGCTGCATGTGTGCTCTGTGTGGTATTTAAGTGTGTGCAGGGATGCATAATGCAAATCTCATACATATGCAGAGGCCAGGAGTATCCTGGGTGTCTTCCTTTATTGCTCTCTGCCCTATTGCCTGGAGCCAGGGTCTCTCACTGAACCTGAAGCTGACTGTTTTGACTAAGCGGCCAGGCCAGTGAGCTCCCAGGATCCACCCACCTCCAATTCCTCGTTTCTGAGGCTAAGGCACGCATAGCTACGTCTGACTTTTTTTTTTTTTTTTTTTTTTTTTGGTTTTTCGAGACAAGGTTTCTCTGTAGTTTTGCGCCTTTCCTGGAACTCACTTTGTAGACCAGGCTGGCTACGTCTGACTTTTTACATGCTGGTTCCTCGTGTTTTCACAGCAAGTGTTCTTACCCAGTGACCTATCACCCCAGCCTGGGAAGTCATTGCTCAAGAAAAAATTTCAGCTAATTAATGAAGAAGACATGATAGCATTGGAAAATGGTCATTTTGTTTTGCATAAAGCCCTGGATTCTGTCTCTAGCACTGGGGGAAACCAAACAAACAAACAAAAAAACCAAGCAGGCATCTTGCATCCTCAATAATGGGTTCCAATGAGGGCCAACAAGAAGTCGCGTGGTGAAAGCTAATGGGGAGATTTGTGAGATAGAGACCACCATCACACAAACTCTCTCTCACATCAGACTTCAAATTGCTAAAGGCAGCATAAGGAGATGCTATATTCCTCCTGTGAAGTGTGATGTGAAGCACATGCTACCACCAAGAAGTCTTCCATTGACCCTGACACTAATCAAGCCTTTAAGAGCCAACATCCATTAGAGGAAATATGGGGCTTGGGGGCACAAGCTGAATGACATAAGAAGCTAATGAAGCCAGAATGTCAGTGATCCAGTTTCTTAAAAAGGTCAGGGACATAAAAAACCGAAAAAGGGAGAGGTGCTCCTGGCTAAAGAAGGCCTAAGAGGCAAGTGCCATGTGTAAACTTTTAGATTCTTCTTTTTTTGGGGGGGTGGGTGCTGTGGGATGTCTTTCTGTACACTGTGAATATGTATTGCTCCCATTGGCTAATAAATAAAGCTGCATTGGCCTATGGCAGGGCAGGATGGAGCCAGGTAGGAAAATCCAAGGGAGACAGTGAGAGGAGAAAGGCAGAGTGGGAGAGGCGAGCCAGCTGCCCAAGGAGCAACATGCAATGGGATGCAGGTAAAGCCACGGAACACGTGGTGATATATAGACTAAGAGTTGAGTTAAGTTATAAGAGCTAACTAGTAAGAAGCCTGAGCCATAGGCCATATAATTCCCAATTAATATCAAGCCTCTGAATGATTATTTTATAAATGACTTCAGAACTGTGGGGCAGGGTGGGGGCTGGGCAGGGACCGGGTAGGACTGGAGAAACTTCTGATACAGGTAGGGTAGGTTTTGAGACAGGGTTTCTCTGTGTAGCCCTGGCTGTCCTAGAACTCACTCTGTAGGCTAGGCCGACCTCGAACTCAGAGATTCTCCTGCCTCTGCTTCCCAAGTGCTGGAATTAAACGGGTGTGCCACCACAGCCTGGCTAGACTCTTCTTTTAATTAAACAGATTTACTTCTTTTTAATTTAAATTTTCCACTATACATAGTCATTGTACATGGTACTTTATTATAGAAAGACAGATTTTTCTTTTTAGACAATGAATGAAACTGGCTAATAGCCTGGTTCCTGATTTCCCAGGCATTCACAGGTAATTTAGTTGGGCATTACGACACTGTGGTAGGTAAAGAGGTACCCAAAGACTACAGAGCTATATATGAAGGATACGGGGGAAGAGTGTAATAGTTGGATTGGCCTTAAAAAACAGAAAATGCTATTTTTCTTTTCTGTCTTGTTTTGAGACAGGGTCTCATGAAGTCCAGACTGGCCTCAGGCTTGCTATGTAGTAGTAGAGGCAGATGTTGAACTCTGTGTGTGTGTGTGTGTGTGTGTAGGGAGGGGTGTGCCTGTTCATAAGGGTACACACCTGCAAGTGTGTACATATTCATGCAGAGGGCAGAGGTTGATATAAGGCATCTTCCATGATTACTTCCCATTCTGTTTTTTGAGGCAGGGTCTCTCATTTGAACCTAGAGCTCACTAATGGCTTGGGCTGGTCAGCCAATGAGCGCTATGGATCTGCCTGCCTCTGCCTCCCCAGCCCTGGGATTACAGCACATGTTGTTACACCTGACTTTTTATGTGTACTGCGGGTCTGAATTCAGGTCTTCATACTTGCACAGCAGGCATTTGCCAACTGAGCCATCCCCCTTGCCGCTGGCCTTGAACTTTTTGTTCTCTTACCCTCTAAGCACTGAGATTGAGGTGTGCACCACCATGCCTGGCATGACAAGACGTTTTAACGTGCCCTTCCCCACAGCAAAGCCCCTGTCTGTTTGCATTTGCTTTGGAGACAGGTGCCTGGAACAGGAGAGGCAGGAAACGGGGACCAAAAGGAGTCCATCTTTCCGGACCCTGCTTACCGCTTGGCTTCTTCCAGCCGGCACAGGTACTGATAGGCAACATTCTGTCGCCTCTGCTCGTCCATCTCCTCGGCCGTGAGGCGTTCATCTACAGTGTGAGGGGACATAGTCAAGGAATGCAGCCTCGGCTAGGGATCCCAGCACCCACACTGGGCAGCTCACAACTTTCTGTAACCAACCAGCTTCAGGGGTGCCAACGCCCTCTTCTGGCTTCTGTGGGCACCCACACACACAAGGCATATAGACACACAGACACATGCGCATAAATAAAAATAAATCTTAAAGAGCAAAAATAGACAGGAGCCTGAGCTCTGCAGCTGTTTTTGAACATATCCCCCAGGCAGCCCCTTCCGAGCACAGAAGCACTCTCCATGTCCCAGTTCACCCATTATCAGGGAGCATCCTTCTTCGCCAGAGACACCTCCTTCTTTCCTCTGCAGCCATCTTCCTGTCTTTCTCTTTCCCAAGTCTGCCTCAAGAGCGCCCTTCAGTGCCACCAGCAGGGCTATCCAAAGCCCTCCTCAGCTGGGACCTTAGTTTCAGTCTTACCCTTCATTATGTGCTAACTTCTCAAAGACGTGCCGTCACAGGGGCTCCCTTGGAAGTATGGCTGACACAGTCAACGATTAAACACTCAGTCACTCACTGTCTTTCTGTCCCGCCCTGGGCTAGTGAACCTCTACTCTTAAAAAAATACAGGTCGGGCGGTGGTGGCACACGCCTTTAATCCCAGCTCTGGGGAGACAGAGGCAGACAGATCTCTGTGAGTTCAAGGCCAGCCTGGTTCTACAGAATGAGATCCAGGACAGGCACCAAAACTATAGAGAAACCCTGTCTCGAAAAAACAAAAAGCAAACAAGCAAACAAACAAACAAAACAAAGGAAGAAAAAGACTGCTCTTGCAGAGGATTTGGGTTAAATTCTCCACACCAATGTGGTGTCTCACAACTGTCTGTAACTCCAGTTCCAGGGACCTGATGCCTTCTTCTTGCCTCCACTGGCCCCAGGCATTCTTGCAATATAAAAGACATACATGCAAGTAAAACATAATACTGAGAGAGAGAGAGAGATGGAAGAAGGGGAGGAAGGGAGGGAGGGAGGGAGAGGGAGAGAAAAAGAGAGAGAGAGAGAGAGAGAGAGAGAGAGAGAGAGAGAGAGAGAGAACAGAGACAATTATTAGAAGAGAAAACCATGTAAGTGAGTAACTCCAACCCGAAGTGAGGGGTGCAGTTAGCCATGAATAAGATCTCGGGCTAGCAAAGGAAGCAAACTGTTCCGAGCTTCGTAGCATGACAAGCAGGTTGAAGAGGAGCAGCTGGCCCAGCAGAGGGATCCACACTATTCACGAGATTAAAGGGAAGGACAAAGGGAATTTTAAAATTGATCACACAGGTATCATCGCTATCCTTTTTTCTATAGCTCACCCGAGGAGGAAAGCAATCTTCAAGCCGAACAAAATGTAGATAACACTCTGACCTCCAAACTCAAGAACAGGGAATGCCTTAAATGGGGATAGCACTCCTCTTCTGCCTTAGCCACAGTCTCTATCTCTCTGTTTCTCATGGGGAACACAACACAAAATTAAGCATGGTGAGGAAGAGTTGCGTGCATGCACGACAATGAGCTCAGCGAACAAGCAGGAGACAGCTTGGTCGGTTTGTCTTTGACTGGGCAGCAGTCATTTTCACTCTTTATGCTCTCTCCTCATCTTGGAGAGCCTGCTGTGTGATTTCAGGAAGGGCTGGGCTTATTTGAATTGGCAGTTATAAAAGTTCAACCCCACAGACACACACACTTCCAAATACAGATTTGAAAGTCCTGGCCAACGGCAGAAAACTCATGGGTTCCTCTGAGGGAATTTACAAGGAACAAGAGTTGGCTGTTCAAGAATGGAAAATAAACCCGTAAGTGAGTGACATCACCTCAGAGCTATGAGCTGGGGACTCAGCGGGATGGAATGGGCGGGGCCTGGAGCGCGCGCGCGCGCACATATACACAGTATCTCAAAAAACCAACAACCACCACCACAAAAAGCCCCCCCCTACACACACACACACACACACAAAATCAAAAACAACAGCCACCACAAAATGGTTTTTCTGGAACTAGCATTCCCTCATGAGGTGAGTGGACACCTATTTTGCTCTTTATGTCCTGGTGGTGATGGGGTAAAGAAAGCAGGTTTTGTTTTTCTTTTCGCTGACCCTTCCCAGAAACCTGAGTTTCTCTCCAAGAAAGCAGTGTTTCAGGTAGCCCACGCCGTCCTCCAAGTACTATGTAGCTAAGAATGACCATGAACTCTTGACCTCCTGCCTCCACTTTCCAACTGCTGGAATTACCGGAGGGAGTGCGCCACCAAGCCCGCCCTCCAGGTTCTGCATTTTAAACAAGTGGCCAGGTGATCAGGAACCAAGAAGTTTGAGAGGGGGTGTCTCCTCCGTGCGGAATTCCATCCCGTGACACCCTTTGGCGGGTATGGTAACTGCAGAATTTTAAGGGGCCATCTAGATCGTCTACATCCCCCGACCCTGGGGCCCCAGAACCTGAGAATAAGGGCGAGCGCCCTATGAAGGTTCGGCAGCGCGGTTACCCTGCGCACACCGGCCCACTCCCCACCGAGCCGAGCTCCGGGCAGCCCCTCCCGCGAAGGCCAAGCCCCACCAGCAGCAACCCCGCTCCACTCCCCTCAGATCCCTCTCGAACTCACAGGCTGTCCGAGCCCGGTCTGCCGCACACGGCTCCATGTCCCTTCTCCTGCCAGTTTTGAATCTCCCGCCTCTGGGACACCACCCCTCACCGCAGTCACACCGGGATGGGACGCTTCCGGTCGTGCCGCAGGGAATCCTGGGTTTCGTAGTTTCTCCCAGGTAGGGACACTAGGGATCGCTTTGGGGCAGTTCCTTGATGTGCTCTTTCTACACGGCCCCTACTCTGCTCAGTTGGCTTTATCAAATAGTCCCTGCCGCTGCCCTTCCTTTCTAGGTGACAAATATGTACATGCTCTCTAGAGGGTGCTGTGGTATGGAGGTCAGTGCAGCACTGAGGGAGAAAACCACTGGGTGGAGGGCAGAGATCTTCCTAGCGGAGGCTTCAGCTGATCTTGAGGCAAGATAGAAAAACAGATCTATGCCGGGCGGTGGTGGCGCACGCCTTTAATCCCAGCACTCGGGAAGCAGAGCCAGGCGGATCTCTGTGAGTTCGAGGCCAGCCTGGTCTACAGAGTGAGTTCCAGGAAAGGCGCAAAGCTACACAGAGAAACCCTGTCTCGAAAAACCAAAAAGAAAAAAAACAGATCTAATTAAAAGGGCATGGGTAGGGAATGGTGCTGCGGAATATTAGTTGAAGGTGTGTTACATTTGTTTCTGCTGTGGAACGTTTGTTTAATGATGCAAAGATGTGTTGCATTCTTTTATGTTGCATTTGTTTTAACTCTGTGAAGCTGTGTTAGTTTGCCTGTCTAAAACACCTGATGGTCTAATAAAGAGCTGAACGGCCAATAACAAGGCAGGAGAAAGGATAGGCGGGGCTAGCAGGCAGAGAGAATGAATAGGAGAAATCCGGAAAGAGAAGATCAAGGAGCAAGAGAAGGAGAGAAGGATGTTGGGGCCAGCCACCCAACTACAATGCAAGCCATGGAGTAAGAAGTAATGAAAGGTATATAGAAGATGAAGGGAAAAGCCCACAGACAAAAGGTTGACAGAAGAATTTAAGAAAAACTGGCTAGAAATAAGCCAAGCTAAGGCCAGGCATTCATAAGTAAGAATAAGCCTCTATATATTAATTTGGGAGCTAGATGGCAGACCCCAAAGATCCAAAAGAGTAAAAAAAAAATTAAAATTAAAAAAATTAAGAACTACAAATGGGGCCCCTCACCATGGAGTCTGGTTGAAATCTCTTCACCACCTAAGAGTTAAGACTTCCTACCTGGAGCTGAAGAGATGGGTCAGCAGTTAAAACCACTGTCTGCTCTTCAAGAGGATCTGGGTTCAATTCCCAGCACCCACATGGCAGCTCACAACTGTCTGTAACTCCAGTTCCACAGGATCTGGCATCCTCACACAGACACACACACAAGCAAAACACCAATGCACATAAAATGAAACTAAATAAATCATTTTAAAAAAAGACTTTCTACACAACTAACAAAATTGATGTGAAGACTACCTACAGAGCTAATATAGAGATAATATTCTTTTTTTTAGATGTATTTATTTATTATGCACACAGTGTTCTGTAGGAGTGTACGCCTGCAGGCCAGAAGAGGGCGCCAGATCTCACTACAGATGGTTGTGAGCCACCATGTGGTTGCTGGGAATTGAACTCAGGACCTCAGGAAGAAGAGCCAGTGTTCTTAACCTTTGAGTCATCCCTCCAGCCCCGATAATATTCTTTTTATACAGAAATATTTCAAGTAAGAATGATACAATATGAGGAATGAACTGATCACAACACATTATATACATATATGAAATTGCCAAATGGAAAAAAAAGGAAAGAAAAACATCTTCAAATTCCAGTGAACCATACATGATTAAGACTTGAGCATATGTGGGTCTTCCAATCTGGCCTTGCTCCTCCTTTTCCAGATATGTACCTGCAATGTGGAGTGAAAGCCTAAGCATTCCCCAAGTCCCTTAGGGATCCCATCCTGTGGCGTCTTTGGTAAGTGCTGAATTGTAAGGGGCCATCTAAGTCATCTACACTCTCCTGACCCTGGAGCCCCAGCACCTGGGAACACAGGAGAGTGCCCTTTGAAGGCTCTGCAGCGCAAGACAGCAGGCAAGTTTGCCTGCTTGCAGGTGTACTTCTGCAGACTCCCACAGGGCAGTCAGTGCTCTGGGCAGCCCCTGCCACAAAGGCCAAGCCCCTTTCCTGGGAATCTCACAAATAAGAATATGATCCTTGTTTACAGAAAAAACATCGTTCAACTGTCTTATGCAATCTTCATGTCTGCCTATGGCTTTCCCTGCCGTGTGACCTCGTCCTGTGCACCTTGACAACCAACCTATGATCCCTTAGGTTCCTTGGCAACCTTCGATGTAACTTCAGAAGCCGTCGAAATCTGATATATGGTTATTACAAAGGCACAAAAAGCATGAGTCACGCAGAAGCCCACACCCATGCTCGGGTGTGTACTCTCTTTTTTCCCCTTTTAACAGCTGTGCTTAAATCTATCCTCAAAGCTCCTATTAATAAAACTCCAGTTCTGCTTCATTCTGACTTGTCCTGAAATTCTTTTCTGGAGCAAAATCAGAATCCTGGCTTCACCTGGTGGAGGTCTCTGAAATGAACTCAGGCTGCTACAGTGGCAGCATGGAGCTGTGCCTCTGGCCCCTCATAATCAAAGCTGAAAGTGGAAGAATTTACCAGATTCAAGGCGAGGGGCGTCCCACACAGTGGGAACAGTATGGGTAACAATATTTAGGGCCCTTCGGCTTGTCTTAGTGATGTGGAGAAAAGGTCAGCCAGGGAGAAGGACATGTCTGTAGGCACCTTGCCAAGGCACGGAGACCTCAGCTGGTGAGCAACTACCAACCCTTTAGACGCAGGTCACAGCAGCCTTATGCTTTAGAAAAGATGACAGCAGGGGCCTGGAGAGAGGGAGGACTGGGTACAGACTAATTGGGAAGCTACTTCAGTGGCACAGAGGACAGATAATACGGCTTCACTAATAAAGACAATTATAACAACCACGGTGAGAAAAGGAGCGGGCGGGCATAGTGTGGGCTAGGCTTCTCTGACCTATATTTTCTCCCTTCTCCCCATGTCACGCAAGCCGCGGTGGCCAAAGCTCAAAGCCTCATGGCAGACATTTGAGAAGGCTCTAAGATAGTTATTGTTAAATGTCAACCTGGTAGAGTCACCCGGAAGATAGGCCTCTAGCCGTGCCTGTGGGGGTTGTGTCGATTATGTTAACTGATGTAGGAAGACCTTTTTAAATCGTGGGTGGGACCATTCCCTGGACAGGGGCTCCTGGACTGCATAAAGTGGGGTTGAGCACACAGCCTTGCATTCGGCCCTTACTGTTTCCTGATTGTAGATGCAGCTACTTCAAGATCCTGCTGTTCTGATTTCAGACCAGGATGAACTGTACCTTGAACTATGAGCTCATATAAATCCTTTCTTTCTTCAGTTGTGTTTCTAAAAAGTGATGTATATGAATGCTGTTTTGAGATTATGATCACATTTCTCCCTTCTCTTTCCTCCCTCCAAAGCCTTCCATATACCCCCTTACTCTTTCAAATTCATGACCTCTTCTTTTACTAATTGTCAGTGCATTCGTATATGTTTATGTACACGCATGTATATTCCTAAATATAACCCGCTCAGTCTGTATAATGTTATTTGTGTGCATGTTTTCAGGACTGACCATTTGGCACTGGACGACCAATTGGTGAGCTCTTCCCTGGGGAAGACCATCTCTTGCCCTAAGCTTTCCTCAGTTGCCTACAGTTCTTTGTGTAAGGGTGAGGCCTCATGGGCTTTTCCCCCATCCATTTTGGTATGCCCATTGGTGTCATCCTTGTTCAGCTCATGTTTGAACAGTTACATTGGTGAGATTTTATGGGTGTAGCTCCTGACATTCCTAGGAGACCCAATCTGACAGAACACTCTCTGAACTTCTGGCTCTTACAACCTTTCTACTCCTTCTTCCGCAGGGTCCTCTGGACCTCTTCCCACCTTCTCGTGTATCCCCCCCATCCCTAAAGAGCCCCCTCTTTCATTTCCCTGGTCAGGTCACTTGTACCCTGCTGTTCCCCTCTCTCAACCCCACATCCCCACCCCCTATCCAGGCAATAGTCCCGTTCTACTCTCCAGGTTTCTGCAATCACTTCAAGCGATGTACTCACATCGGAAGATTTAGAGCCAGGAGCCTCCAGTGAGAGAGAACATAATACATTTGTCCTTCTGGGTCTCAGTTACCTCCCTCAATAAGATCTTTTCTTGCTCCATCCATTTACCTGCAAAATTCATAATTTCATTTTTCTTCACTGCTGAGTAGTAGTGTGTATTCCATAGTGTGTATGCATCACATTTTCATTATCCATTCGTCAGTTGAAGGACAGTAAGGTGGTTTCCATTTCAGCCATTGTGAATAAAGCAGCAATAAACGTGGCTGAGCAAGTATCTGGAGAGTATGATGTCAAGTCATGTGGGCATATGCCAAGGAGTTGTATAGCTCTGTCATATGGTAGATTTAATTTTAGCTTTTTGAGAATTCTCCATGCTGATTTTCATGGTGGTTGTAGCAGTTTACAATCTCAACAACAGGGAATGAGGATTGCCTCTCCCCTCCTCCTCTCCAGGGTTTGTTGTTTGGTTGATATTAGCCATTCTGACTGGGGTAAGATGAAATCTCAGAGTTGTTTTGATTTGCATTTCCCTGATTACTAGGGACAAGGAACATTTCTGAGATATTTCCTGGCCAGTTGTTTTCCTTCTTTTTAGAACTCTGTACTCAAGTTCCAGTTCTGTTTCTTGAGAATGGGTCATTTGGTTTTTCACTCTTGTTTTTTGAGTTCTTGGTATATTCTAGATATTAATCCTCCGTCTTAGCTGGAAAGATTCTCTCCAGTTCTGTGGGATTCTTTCCTTCGTTGTGAGATGTTTCTTGGCCTCAGCTTCCGAACTTATCTGCTGTTGACTTTAATTCCTGGGCAAATGGAGTCCTATTCAGAAGACCTTTCCTATGCCTCTATCATGTAGGTACTTTCAGAAGGCCTTTCCTACGCCTCTATCATGTAGGTACTTCAGAAGG